CATCCTCCTCCTGCTTCTCTTCTTCCTGCTCATCCGCCTCTGGGGGATCCAGGTCCGCTAGGACAAGAGTCGGCGAATAGAGAAACAGTAAGCGCAACGAGAAGGGAAGGGGTGGGAGGGGTGGGAGGGGTGGGATGTCAGGTGTGGCGCACGCACATATCTTGTACGAACGCTCCATGCGAGCGCTACTCTCCTGTCTCGCCCGACTGCGTCCTGAACAAATCCCGCCCTCTCGGTGCACTTGTGTACAGAGGATGTCGCAAACATGTGCATAATACTATGGTTGTCCTTCAGTGTTTAACATGGTGTTGCTGCTACAGTGTGAGCCTCATGTTAGGATCGGCGTTTTGCCACCGTCGTTCAAAATGGCAACCTCGCCCCAACGCGGGCCACTTTTCTGGATCCGAGTCCTTCCTCGTCGCTGGCGCCCCACTTCTTTCACCTCTCCCGCCTTGCCCTGTTCATCCTGTTCCTGCTGCTGCTGCTGTTCCTCCTCGTCCCGCTCTCATCCTTAGCCGCACGGAGCGCGTCAATATCTTGACCCGTCTTGCGGCCAAGGACCGTTTACCCTCCTCATCCTCCTCATCCTCTCCTCCTCCTCTTCCTCCTTCTCTTCCTCATCCTGGTCATCATCCTGCGCAGCCGCCACCTCCTCATACCACTTCCGATGTACGTAGTTGCCCTTCTCTGATTACGCATGGTTAACACGATGGAATCCTTTGGGGGGTCCCAGGTCAGCTACGACACCCGTCGGACAGGGGAAACCTCAGCGCAGTGAGACGGGATGAGTGGGAGGGGTAGGATGTCACATATGGCGCGAGCGCGCCTAGTTTGCCTCCCCCACCTCTCATCTCTCCCCCTTCTCGAGCCTCCTCCCCTCCCCCATCGACTGTGCCCTCATTTTCTCCCCATTTTGTTTCTACGGTTACACGATATGATCACCATGCATACTACTCTCCTCTCTCACCCCGATTATGTGCTGAGAGTGGCCGCCCCCCTCCGCGTACTGTTGTTGTGCACTCGTGATTGGCGCGGTCAAACTTACCTTTAGTTTGTAGTGTTGTTTCAGTTCCATCCCTCCGCGTACTGTTCGTTACACAAGATTTGCCTGAACTGACTTTCCACATGCTTGTTTACCCTCGCGTCGTTCACTATTGTTTCACACATGGCTGTGCCGTGCTGTGCTGTCCTGCTCTTCAGGTTCGCGCGGTGCTCCCATTGTAGAAAAATGGCATTCCCGCCCAAGCGCAGGCCACTTTTCTGGATCCCACGAGTCCCAGAAGTCAGGGCTGAACCTAAACGGTGTTTTTCGTGTTCTTTTGTTTACGTTTTCCTTCGTTTTGTCTTCAATCCGCCTTCACCGCAAAACGACATCGAAACGAAAACGGCCTACGAAATCACAAAAACACCTTTTTGGTCCAGCCCTGCCAGAAGTGTCGCATGTCTCGCAGGTCTCACAGAAGTCTCCCGAGTCCCGCAGGTCCTGCCGCTGCCACGGGCCCCACAGGTCCCGCAGGTCCCACAGGTCCCACAGGTCCCACAGGTCTAACAGGCCTCAAGTCTCGCAGGCCCCACAGGCCGCACATGTCACAGAGGCCCCCCAGGTCCCAAAAGTTTCCCTCGTTCCGATTGCGCATATCGCAATGTGGTCCTTTTATGGAGTCCCGGGTCGACTATGGAACGTGTCCGCGGATAGAAAAAACAGCAGCGCAATGGGAAGGGATGGGAGGGAGGGATAGGATGTCAGATATGGCGCAAGCGCACCTGGCTTGCCGCCTCCTCCCCCTCTCCCTCGCCCGTGCCGCCTTTCTCCCTCCTCCTCCCTCTCCCATCCCCCGCCCGTGAGCTGTGGGAAGCCACAGCAGCCCGCACCCCCCAGGCAGAGCTCAGATGACACAGGCACTCGAGGTCCTCGACAGACCCACCCCCCTCACCCTCCTCCCTCTCCCTCGCTGAGCTTGGAATGGCTGGGGCCCCGCAGGCGCATTAATGGTGCCGCTGTGGTATGCACTTGCGACCTCTGGACAGTGTCCTAGATGATCCGACCCCGACTCCCACCTCTCCCTCCTCAACGAGGGTCAGGTGTCAGGGGAAGAAGCGAGGCAGGGTAGGGATGAGAACGGGGGAGGGAAGGAAGAAGAGAGGGAGGAGGGGGGGCGAGAGGATTCCAGGATCGAAGTGCAACGGGAGCAACCGACCAGGGGTTCTGGCACAGCTGCCGAAGAGAGGCACCGCGCCAAATCGCCGGGCTGCGCCCCGCAGCGACGCTACGCTGGCCAGAGCTCTCCCTCCAGCGCCGTGCTCAAGGCAGAAGCGCCCGACATCCTCTCCGAAGCGGAGGCCGCTCGCGAACTTCGGGGGCCTGTCCTCGCGAGTCCCTGGCGGCCCTGCTCGCACGAACTCCAGGGGCCTGTGCTCGCGAACTCTGTGGCTCGCTCTTGTCGATCTTCGCTAGCTTGCTGGTCGAATTTTAGGGGATACAATGTGGATGTCGTGGCTCGTCCCGCGGCGTGCTCCGAAAGTGAACGTTTTGGTATTCGGCGTTTCGACATTGGGCGAAAGAGGGGGGGGGCGGGGTCTGTCTCTGGGCCTCTGCTTAGCGCCACTGTTTGCAACAGTGCTTCCTGTAGGTGAGACTCCACCTGCTTGAAACAGGCGCCAAAAACAGCCAAGATCTACAGTGCGGGCGGGGTCGCAATAAGCCCTCGCAAGAAACCCAACACTGAACATCCGCGCGCGAGGTGCACCTGGTGAGAAACTCGGAGCACCCTGAACGCAACAGCTTCTTCGACGGCCGCGGGAAGTCACCGCGCAGCGCGCGGAGCGAAGAAACCCAGGATGCCCTGACGAAAACCATATGGTTTCTTGATGCGCGCCCCCACTGTACTCCAGGGGTGTGGGGGGGAGGGGGTGCGAGGGCCCGCGCCGATCGGCAAAGCAATGAATATGAAAACGATCACAAGCCTTCAAGGGGAGGAGGAAGAGGAGGAGGAGGAGGAGGAGGAGGAGGAGGAGGCGGAGGAGAAGAAGGAGGAGCAGCAGGGGGAGGAGCAGGAGGAGAAGGAGGAGGAGGAGGAGGTAGGAGAGGACAGGAGAGGAGAGGAGTGGAGAGGTGAGGACGACGAAGGGCGACGAACGAAGCAGGACAGAGGACAGAGGTCTGCACGATGCGCAGGCAGCCTCGTCATCCTCCTCATCCTTCTCCCCCGCCACATCCCCCTCCTCCTCGTCCTTATCCTCCTCCTCCTCCCCCTCCTCCTCTTCCTTCTCCTCCTCATCAGCATCAGCATCAGCATCCGCATCAGCATCAACAGCATCACCACCACAATCATCACCATCAGCATCATCATCATCAGCATCACCATCAGCATTCGAATCGTCATCATCATCATCATCATCATCATCAACATCATAATCGGCACCACGACCACCACAATTATCATCACCATAACAATGACTATCATCATCATTATGATCACCACTACCATCATCAGCATTAGCATTATCAGCATCGTCATCATCATCATCATGACCACCACTACCATCATCATCACCACTATCATAACCAGCAGCATCATCATCACCACCATCATCGCCATCGTCAACATCACTGCCACCACGACCGCCATCATCATCGCCATCACCATCACCATCACCACCATCATCATCATCATCATCATCATCATCATCATCATCATCATCATCATCATCATCATCATCATCATCGCCATCATCATCAATATCATCATCATGAGCAGCATCAGCGTCAGCATCGTCATCATCATGATCAGCATCGTGATCATCATCATCATCATCATCATCATCAGCTGCAGCATCACCATCTTCATCACCAGCATCATCATCATCACCACCATCATCGCCATCATCACCACACGCATCATCAGCATCATCATCATCATCATCATCATCCAGACTTGCCACGGAGCGGGCTCTCTTGCATCTTGGGCCCCTCTTCGCCCCGCCCCCTCCTCCGGCTGACAGACACCTTCCACCCCTCCTCCCTCTCCTCCCTCCTCCCTCCCCCTCCCTCCTCCCTTCCCCTCCTCCCTCCCCCCTCCTCCTCCCCCCTCCTCCCCCACCTCCCTCATCAACCGCGACCCCAGCACCAATCCCTCTTTAGGATCGGTGGCCACCAGGGTCAGGCGTGTGAGGGCGCGGTTAACGTCAGCACTGTACACCCCCACGGCCTGCGGGCAACGGCCCCTGACCCAGGCCGGGGGGGGGCAAGGAAAATTCAGGACAATCAGGAACGAGGAGGAAGGAGGGGGGGACGGTCGCACAGAAGGCGCCCCGGCAAGGGCGGCCCGGCAAGCACCCGTCCAACTTTGGGACGGGTGTCCACTGGGATGAGGCGTGTGAGAGGCGCCCGTCCACGGCTGAGCGGCCTCGCGCCCCCATCGGGGCCAAATCGAAGAACCACGACGCACTCTTATTCAGCCGATCCGCGGCCCTCCCCGGCGAAGGGAGGCCAGGCCATGAGAGCCCAGGCGGCCCAAAGCAACGGAACCAAAGGGCGGCGGCAAGCGCGAAAGCGCCAGGAGCGACTGAACGATGACAAAAACAAAAAAAAAAATCCGTCGTAACAGCGCCGGGGCTGGCCAGCGGGCCGCAAGAGGAGGAAGGAGGAGGAGGAGGAGGAGGAGGAAAAAGAAGAGGGGGAAGCCGGGCGAGGCTGGCGAACTAGGGCGTAAGCAGCGGCCCGGCCAACGCCAGGAACCGGGCGCTCCACTGCTGCAGCGTGGACGCCCAATCCTGCCAGACCAGGCGCACGTCCTCGGACCTCTCCTCCGGGTCCGGCTTCCGACACAGGGAGCGCACCAGGGTGATGAGGCCCTCCCCAGGGCGGCCAAAGCACGACCCTACCGCAGGGGTGAGCTTGAGCTGGGCATGCTTCCGGCGCTTCGTAGCCTCCTCGGCCGCGATGGCGGCACCATGCGGGGTGGTGCTTGGATTCTGGCCACCCACCCTTGCCCACGGGCTCACGATGGCCACGTCGACGTGCGCAGTCTCGCCCCGGTGGTTCTGGAAGTGCAGATCGGGCCGCCGATCATCGGGCAACGTGTAGTCGTGCTGCTCCAGGCCGGGCGCTGTGTGATGTCCGTGATGGTATTCACGAGTAGGTCACGCAGGGCGTTGTGACGGCCATTCACTATGCCTCCCACGCCGCAGAGGATGGGGTGGCGACCGTGCAGGTCGCGCACGCAGCCGCACTGCGTACTCGGTCGGTCCTGCCGGGGCTTGGAGCGGTGGAGACACGGACCAACGGACTGGAACACGGGGAGGTTCATCCGGAAGCGGACGCATGTCACGAACGCCTGGTCGGACATGGCGTGCTGAGGTCCCCGCGGAGGGAGAAGCCAAGCGCTCGCCCCAGGGCCCCCGCTCTCCTTGCAGGCAATGACGGACTCATCGCTCGCGCCGCATTCGAAAAGAGTGTAGCTGCGCGCGCAAGCTGCGAGTCGCCACTTCCGTGCCGGCTTCGGGTCGTCGTGGTCGAGGAAGGCTGCGAGGTCCGCGAGGCCCGGGACACCCTTACCATGCAGGGAGCGCACCACCGGGGCGGCCGTCGACGCAAGGGACGGTAATCGTGCCATCACCTCGTGGGAGGATGGCAGGCCATGCCTCTCAGCAGCGCGGGCCAACGCAGAACCCAACGAAACCAAGTAGAACGCCTCTGCGGAATGGTACGCGCTGTGGAGCCCCATGCCACCATCCCGCCAGGGGAGGAACCAGCAGTGATGTTCCGCGCCCAGATCCCCAGGCAAGTCGACGCCCAAAAGGTCGTGGACACCAGCCAAGAGAGCCTTGTCCAGGTTCCGGGAAACTTGGTCTGAGATGGGCATGTTCTGCGCGACGTAACTGATGTCTCCGGTGGTAGCCATCCGCACGAGGAGGAACGCAGACTGGGCACGTAGCCTGGCCCCACGCAGGTCGGCCACCCGCTCAAGCAGAGGATCTCGACGAGCCTCGATCCGCACAGCGGGCGCCACGTCGGCCGAGACGGTGCCATCGGCCGCGGGCATCGGCAGCGGTAGTTTCAGCACAGTGGGCACGTCTGCAGATGCTGGAATACGAGCGCCACCAGTTTGACATGGGCCTCGCGAGGCCACGTAGCATTTCGAGAGCTTCACGCGGAGCCCAGCTGGGGCAAAAACTCCGGCGAGGCCGTCACAGATGGCTGGCATATCCGACGGATTCGCCAACACGTACGTGTCGTCTTGCTGGCCGAAGACAGCGCCTCGCTCGGCGAGTTCAGCGCGTGCGTCGACGATTGCGACGGGGGCGAGGATGTTGGAGGCCGGGCAGCCCTGGTCCAGGCCGTCGAACGCATCAATCCTGTGCACCTCCCCTTCCTCATCCTTGTACATGTGGCTCCGTGGGGCACGGAGCCAGGAGAGGAGCTCGGCCATGCGCGGGATCTTGTGGACCACCTGCTGCTCGAGGAACTCGGTCCTGACGGAGTTGTGCATATTCTCGATGTCTATTCCCAGCAACGCGCGTCCGGGGTCAAACGTCCACTCGAGGTGCAGGTCGTGGCGGAGGCTAGTGCAGCCGCCGGGACAGCCCACCCCGTACTGCGTGTCACCCACAGCGTCCCGCGCTTCATCGATGAACATCTTCACCCAGGCTCGCATCGCAGTGCGCCACATTGCGCAGCCACTGGCCAGCGGCCGGATGTCTTCGGTGAGCTGGCCCGCGCTGTTCGTCTTGAGGGGGGCGCTGAGCCTCGCAGACCGGTGGATCCGGATCGCCTCGCGCGGAGCGCGCCCAGCAGGCAGCATGGCGAGGACTCGCGCCATCAGGGGGGTCGCGCCGGGGACCGCGTCGGAGTGGCGGATGTGCTCGTAAACCGCGCCCGTCGAACCAGCCCCCCGCATCGGCGGCAGATGGCGGAGCTCGTCGGCGATGAACCCAGCAAGCTCCTGGACGACCTCGGGAGAGGCATCCGGAAGCGGAGGCCGGTCATCCATCGGCTGGTCGAGGAACTTGGAGCTAAGCTTGCCTACGACATTGGGGCCCGTGGCAAACGTGACGGGCTCGATGATGCGGGAGATCGCCTTGCTGACGGCATTGTTGCGGATCAGCGCCTCGATGGACCGCACCTCCTTCACTGCCAGGGCTTCCGCAGAACGCGGTTGGGCGGAAGCCGAGGTGCGCATGCGATTGTTGTCGATTTCTGTGAAGAGCTGGTGCCAAGCCCCTGTCCAGAAAGCGCTCAGACGGGCGGAGATGATCCGATTCAAGGTGGCGTGACCTTGCCGTCTTTGCCGCCGCGGCTGCGGGGGGCAACTCCAAGCACTAACGAATCGAATGCAGAGAAGAGCTTCCACCCGCGCTCGAAGTTCACGTTGTCTCCAGCCTCATCGGCGGACACGATGGCGCGGCACGCCGCGATCCTGGCCTCCCACACGTTCGCCTCCCAGTGGGGCGGGATGTGTCTGAGGCACTGATGGCACTCAATGCACCTGTCCCAGGAGATGGCGTCGAATTGCTCCATGTGCTTGAGCTCGCCGATGGACGGGGCGGCGGCCGCCGGGGGCTCTCCAGGAGCCGGTGCAGACTGGGCGGCGCTCGACAGGGCAAACGTGAGCGCTGCCTTGGCAGCGGGGCCCAGCTCTGCATAATTCACAACCTTGTCCGTGGTCACCCTGTACGCCCCTGAACATCGCGGGTGGAGAAGCCGAGTGTGCTTGGTTCCAGCAGGCCGCAACCGCAGAGCGTCCTCGTCGAAAGGCTCGTGGCACACGTAGCAAATGGCCTTGTGCCGCTTCGGCTGCGGGGAGACCTCCCAAGTCGTGTCGAGGGATGCGGCAACGGGGCGCGACGCGCCAGAGCCTCTGGCCGGCTGCATGGGCCTCCTGCAGGTCAGCGGGTCAGTGCCACCGCCGCCGCACGCGCGTGCGCACGCGCACGACCTGCAAGGCTGCGCGAAGGACAGCGGAGCCTAGGCACGGCCTGGCGGCGGGCCCAAGGACATTACCGCGCGGCACTCCTCCCTCCCCCTCCTCCCTCCCCCTCCTCCCTCCTCCCTCCCCTTCCTCGCCCCCTCCTCCCTCCTCCTCCCCCTGTCCTCCCTCCTCCTCCTCCCTCCTCCTCACTTCTCCTTCCTCTTGGGAGGTCTGGGCTCCTCCCCCCCCCCCCCCCCCTGCCCCCCCTCCCCTCCCCTCCACAGCCCGCACGCCGCAGGAGGGCGGCACGCCCCCGCTCCCCCCCCCCACTGCAGGCTCGGGGCTCGGCGGAAGGAGGCAGCCTGTGGGCGTGCGGAGGAGGAGGGGGAGGGGGAGGGGGAGGAGGAGGAGGAGGAGGGAGGAGGAGGAGGAGGAGGAGGAGGAGGAGGAGGAGGAGGAGGAGGGAGGAGGAGCAGGAGGAGGAGCAGGAGAGGAGGAGGAGGAGGAGGAGGGAGGAGGAGGAGGAGGAGGAGGAGGAGGAGGGGAGAGAGGGAGAGGGAGAGGGAGGAGGAGGAGGAGGAGGAGGAGGAGGAGGAGGAAGAACAGGAGAAGGGGGAGGAGGAGGAGGAGGAGGAGGAGAAAGGGGGTGAGGTGTTCTCGGCAAGAAGCTCACATCTCCGATTCTCGCAGGCTTCCAAGGTCATGCTGGCCCCATTCAAGTTCTCTTGCCGCGGGATGCCTCCTAACAACTGCGCCTCGCCGAGCGCGTTCCGTGGGTGGAGGCCCGAGCAGCCGCTGGAGGCTCGAATTACGCCTTGAAGACCCGAATCTCTGGCGATTTATCTTTTCCATTCCTGGCGTCTTCCTTCGATTTTGGCGTCTGGGGCCCGTTATCGGGCCCAAGGGCGATGCAGAGTGGATCCGGGACGGACGGCTACCCCTGGGGGAGGGATCGGGACATCTGGGGCCGAGGACTGAACATGTCACATCGTCGGATGCCTGGGGCGAGGGGAACGGGTCTTGGATCCCAGAGCTTTTCGCAAGAACCAGATCCCGATTCCGAGTATACCCAGACATCTGACGATGCGATTCTTTCAATCTGCGGGCCCAGAGAGGTCCCGACCTCTTTTTCTGGGACAGTCCCACGAGACCTAGCCAGATTATTCCTTCCTCTTCTAAGACCCCTCTTCTCTTCGGGGAGGCGTGCCCTCCCCGCAATCCCTGTGTTTCTGTTCAATGGGGGGAGGGGGGATGTCGCGACGTGTGAGGGGGTGCTTTTGTTGCCCAAGATGGCTACGAGAGGGCCCCAGAGCTCGAAGACAGCTCCCCACATGGCTCAAGATAACAGAAGATGTTTCAAGATGGCTTCCGACATGCATCCGAGAGGCTCCAGGAGCACCGCAAGACGGTCCCGAGTGCTTCCAGAGGCCCCTCAGGACTCCCCCAAGAGGCCCAAATCCTATAAGCACATGTGAAAATCTAGGATGTGTGCCTTCGCGCCTTTTCGCTTCCGATGCGGTTAATTTGGACGCCCGAAATGGGGACGGAAAGAATGGGCACTATGCCCAACAACAAATGTTGTCCCAAGCCAACAGCGGCCGCTGTTGGGCAGGCGGCTTTCTGTCTCGAGTGGACACAGGCCGCGGCGGCATGGACAGCGAATCCTGTTCCAAATGAACAGGAATTGTTGTTGGGCATTGTACCCATTCTTTCCGTGCACATCTCGTGCGTGCAGAGCTAAGGCCTCGAGATGGCTCTCCGATAGCTCCCCGGCGGGGGCCTAAGAGGCCTCCCCCAGGCGGCCCCCAGACCGCCCAACGCGCTCCAATGGCGCCACAAAAGGCTCGCCCCCCCCCTCTTTTGATCGACGCCCTCCAACATTGATGGGCGTGTGTTCCACCACAACCACCACCATAAGTTGGAGGAGGGGGGAAGGAGAATGACGAGGAGGAGGCGGACGAAGAAGAGGAGGAGGAGGAGGAGGACCCCCTCCCCTCCAACTTATGGTGGTGGTGGTGGAAAACAAGTCCATCAAACATAGCCCTAAGAGGCCCCGAGGAGGGCTCCACATGGTACCGTAGCCATTTTGGCTCAATGTACAAATTGGATTGATGCGTTCACGCAAACCTTTTTCCGCATAGCCAGGCCTCTATAATAGCCGCCAGAGGTCTCCAAGAGGGCCGCGAGAGAGCCCCAAGATGACCCTGAAAAGGCCTCCAGTGGGTCCCAAGACGGCTGCCAGTCGTCGTCGTCGTCCTCCTGCTCCTCCTCGATTTCGTCCTCTTCCTCTTCTTCGGTAATCCACCGTGAACTTCGTTCATTTCCTCCTCGCCCTCCTCTTCCTCCTCGTCCTCGTCCTCGTCCCCTTCCTCTTCCTCGTCCTCGCCCCCTTCCTCCTCCTCCTCCTCCTCCTCCTCCTCCTCCTCCTCCTCCTCCTCCTCCTCCTCCTCCTCCTCCTCCTCTCTCCTCCTCCTCCTCCTCTCCTCCTCCTCCTCCCTCCTCCTCCTCTCCTCCCTCTCCCTCTCCCCTCCCCTCCTCCTCCTCCTCTTCCTCCTCCTCCTCCTCCTCCTCCTCCTTCTCCTCCTCCTCCTCCTCCTCCTCCTCCTCCTCCTCCCTCCTCCTCCTCCCTGCTCCTCCTCCTGCTCCTCCTCCTTCTCCTCCTCCACCTCCTCCTCCTCCTTCTTCCTTCTCCTCCCTCCTCCTCCTTCTCCTTCCTCCTCGGAGATCTGGGCCGTCGGCCCGTCCCCCTCAGGACCCCCCCTCCCTCTCCGCGGCGAGGGGGACGAAGCTGATGGGCCTGGGATCGGTGCAGGTCCACGGACAGCGCGCGCCCCGCCCGCCGGGCCTCTCCACCGACGGGGTCGCTGCTGGGGAGCCTGCCGAAGACGTGCGCGCCCAGCCTTGGGTCGGGCCTGTCCCCCTACAGGGGGATCTTGGGCCCTTTTTTTTTGTTTGTTTTTTTTTCTTACTTTTTAACAACAACAATAAAAAGGTGCTTCAAACATATTTCAAATCATTAAACATTGGCCCCTGACTACTTGTCTACTATGTTTAAATATTCCTCCTGCAGAGGGACATGTCCGACTTAAGCCCAGCCGCGTGCATGCATGCAGCCCGCCCCCCAGCCGCGAGGCCAGCCTGGTGTTGCGAACGCTCGCGGGGTGCATGCCGTCGAGGCCTACGAGAATTCCCGTGCACGCTGGCCCCAGGTGTCGGTCGATCGGAGGCAGGGAGGAGATTCCGCGGTCGGCGTTCTGGGGGGATGCGCAGGCCTGAAGTTCATTCCCGCGCGCACGTGCACGTGCGCCTTTACTAAGCTCTGGAGCTGCAGCGCTGACATTTTTGTTGGTCGACGTCGATATGAGAGCAAACACGCATGGCCGATGTACCCCCTCGGGGGGGGGCCTGGTGCTGCTCAGCCGCCCAGGGGGAAAGAACACCCCAGGCTATAATAGGGCGCGCCCGCCAGGGCTGTGCCCGGGGCCGCCCCCTCCAGCCCCGAGCACGCTCGGGGGTTGGCATGCGGGGATGCACGAGCACGAATTAGCTAACGGTACAGCGCGCTCCTCCTCCTCGTGCCTTCCATCACCCTTCTCCCCCATCATTCGGGAGCGGCCAAGAGGGGGGGGTGCAAATCATGACCCGCGGCATGTGCGCGGCCCAGCGGGGGGGCCAGGGAAGTAATGAAATCAGAAGGGGCGCCATAAAATCTGGGGAAACATCATGGCCCCCGCCGTGATATCCCAACCCCCCCTAGTCATCACCTCCCTCTTTGCCGCCCCCGACTCGTGCCCGCTCCTCCTTTCCCGCCGTCCTCCATCCCTAACCTTAAGTCGGGCCTGTCCTCCTACAGGGGAATTGTGGACGAAAAATTAAAACCATACAAAAAATACTCTAAAATGGCCAAACAATGCCAAGAAAATCGTCCCCAGCCTTTTGTTTGACTATTTTTGAAGATCCCTCCTGTAGAGCGACAGGCCCGGCTTAACCCTACCCCTTTCACATAATCCCCCCCCTGTCGCGCCCCCAGGCGTGCCCGTAGGGCGGGCCGGACACTCCGCCCGAGACGTCGGTACCACTTCTGATCCCGAGGCTTCACACTCGCAGCAGCTCCACCGATGACGAGGGGCCGTTGTAAAAAAATGGCGTTGGCACCCGCTGACCATCGCTCGGACGTCCATTTCATGTGCCTCTTTCGGTTTCGTGCATGTTTTTTTTTTTTTCGCAAGATGATCCAGGATGCTCCTTCATAATCCCCGCCGAGAAAAAGTGCACACGTCCGAGCGGTACCAAGACCCTTGCGCCGCGCATTCGTCTTGACATCGCGCAGAAACTGATCGGACGGAGAGCGGTTCATGTTCAGAAGGGGCCAATCGCTTGAGACTTCCTCGAAGCTCATGGCCACACATGTCAAGCAGCGAAAGACTGCAAACGCTTGGAGCTGGTATTTTTTTCCAGACAGGGATCCTTCTCGCCGGACGAGGGTACTGTGCCCATGGTGCACTCCCGACCACGAGTTACGCAGCGAGGCTGCTGCTCAAAACGGCACTCTTGCCTACAAGGAGGCCCATACCTACCCTCGAGCACGAGCGACTGCGGCCCCCCCTATCCCCCGCAACCTCTCAGCATAACCTCTATCAGCAAAACTAGGCGGGAGAACCTTCCAGTGTTCTCTCTGACCCCTTTAGATCGAGCTCGTCGGGTCAAGATGTGCTAAAACCTCTTCTCTCGCAAGTCTACAAAAGAGATCTCGCACAATTCCTGCCCACTTCCAGGCACAGCACAGACTATCCCCGTATCCGCCACCGTGCCCTTGAGAGGCACGAAGTGGAGTGCCCTCGTACCCCTTGTTCGATCCTCTGGATCCTCAGTCTTGAAAACTGGAGATTCGAGGGGTCCGGATCCCAAATTGCCAGATCTTCTGGGGCGCGTCGTGTGGCTCCTGGGCCCCCGGGGCGGGTTCCCGCACGACTTCTTCTGGGCCCAGGAGGGTCTCAAGACGGGCCAAGAAGGCCCCAAGAGGCCGTCCAGGCAGTCCGAGAATGCCCCGAATCTCCGAACGACGGCTCCAAGCCCAGGATGGTTCCAAGACGGCCCAAAAAGCCTCCGATGCGCCCCAAGGGAGAGAGCCCCAAGAGCCTTCCCAAGAGGGCCACGAGAGGCCATGATGTTTCTTATGTTTTGGGGGTCCTCGACTTTTTGAGCTTCCGACGCTCCAAGAGGACCCGAGAGGCCCTTAAGAGGGCACCCACACGGCCCAAGAGACTCCAAGACGGCCCTAGAGGCGGCCAGGACGGCCCGAGAGGGCCCAAAAACAACCCCAAGACGGGCCCAGGATGGGGAACATGAGGAAATTATCCCGGCAAAGCAACCTAACAGCGATGTGTATCAGCATATCTGGAAGCATTCCCCTTAAGATTCAGGTGAGAATCCAGTTGTAGAATTCTGCTGTTCTCGCAGTCGCAGTCGCATTCGCAATGACAGTCGCAGTGGCAACGGCCTTAGGATCCAATGGAATCCTAAGGATTCCTAGGGATTCCTAAGACCTTAGGCATCCTTAGGAATCCATAGGAATCCTGAGGAACCCTTAAGGAAAATACGAATGTTCCGCCCAAGAGGCCCTCAGGAGACCCCAGGGAGGCGCCGCGAAGCCCGCAAGACGCCACAAGAGATTCCCAAGAGGCTTCCGAACGACCCCCCCGAGAGGCCCATCGCGACATCCCAACGAACACTGCAGAGACCTACAGTCGGGGCGTTGACCTAAGGAACCCTAAATTAGGAACGAGGCCCCTTTTTTTCCATAAGTTAACCTTCGATTTCCTATCGAAAACATAAGGAAAGCCTGAGGCAAGCTGTGAAACACTTGAGGAACGCGGAGCCCCTCCCCAACGAAAAGGGTTCCTTCTTCAGGGCCCCGACTGTATGACCCACAACCCAGACACGGTGGCGGGATGGGTCGAAGGGCATTTGATCTACCGCCTCCTGGCGATTCATCGCAGGGGTGCCTGGCGTGCTAGACCCTTTCGGTTTTGGCTTCGGCTCTTTGTCCTAAAGAACTCCCCCTGGGGCTTCGGCCCGTCCCGCCGGCCACCCGGAAAGATCTTCCAGATTGCTCAGAGGTGGTTGCCACGGGTTTCCTGCTCCAGACGGCTCCAAGACGGCCCAAGATGGCCTCCAAGACGCCTCCAAGACGGCCAACATGGCCTCCAAGACGGCTCAGATGGCCCCAAGATGCCTCCAAAATGGCCCCATGCCTCCAAGACGGTCTAAGCCTCAAGATGGCTCAAGACGGCCCAAGAGGCCCCCAAGAGCCCCCCAAGACGCCTCCAAGAGGTCCTCAAGGAGAGAGCCCGAAGAGGCCAAAATCCTTGATTGTCCATGGATTTTGAAGGATTTTGGCATTTTCTTCTTTTCAGCCTTCCGAAGACCTCAAGACGGCCCAAGAGGCACCCAAGATCGCCCCAAAATCGCTCACGAGGCCTCCAAGATGGCCCCATGACGGCCCAAGAAGCCCCCAAGAAGGCCCCAAGAGGGCCCCAAGACAGCCCAAGAGGCCTCCAAGACGGACCCGAAGCGCTCCAAGAGGGCCCCAAGTCGGTTCAAAGAGGCCCCAAGACGGCTCCCGACGGCGTCAGACAAACCAGGAACGCCATGAGACGGCCAAAGAAGCCCCCGAGAAGCTCCAAAAGGGCCCTGAGAGGCCCTCAACAGGCCCCAAGAGAGCCCAAGATAGCCCCAACATGGCCTCCAAGACGGTCCCAAGATGGTCCAATCGAGCCCAAGAGTGCCTCAAGAGGCTCCGAAGAGGCATCCTCCCCCTTCTCCTTTTTCCTCCTCCTCCTCCTCCTCCTCCTCCTCCTCCCATTCCTCCCCCCGCGTTCCCCGAAACCTTTTCAAAACCGACTCGGGGAACACATGGTCCGGTAGCTTGGCCAAGCTCTAGCCCAATTGTCGGACACATAGGCGCTTCCACAAAGGCAGGGGGCGGCGGTGATTTGCCGTAGGCGTCTTCGATAAGGCACAACGAAGGAATCACTCCTGGACGGTTTCGCACCTCTTCGCATAGAGATGTCCTGGTTGTCGAAACCAGAACACATTCGCAATGGGATTCTAGGGTACTTCACGCAGTGAAGAGGACCACTTGTAGGAACTTCTGGGGAGGGGACTTGGGACGGGAGGGTATATTCAAGCATCGTTGATGCATCTTGGGATTAATCTGGCCTTCCTCCTCCTCCTCCTCCTCCTCATCAGCATCAGCACCATCAGAATCCTTCCCGCGCCTTCCTCCGCCTCCTACCTCTCCTCCTCCTACTCTGTGTCCTCCGACCTTCTTTCACCGCCTTCCTTTAGCCTTCCCTCCATCCCCCTTCCTGGGCTCCTCCACGGGTACTCCTTCTGAATCACCCTCCCTCTCGCACCCCGAGTCCAGTCGGAAGGGCATGCCAGGCGTTTCGCCTGAGACGTCCTTGCCATTCATGCTTAAAAGCTGGCCGCAGCTTCAGAGACGGAGGGCGGGTCGCGCACATTCGTCTCAGAACGTTGCAAAGAGTTTGACGGACTGAGGAAAGATGGTCTTCAAAGTGTGGCTCTGGCATCAGCGCCGCGCCCATGCGTTTTAAACATTTGCAACAGCTTACCGCCCTGGCGCCGCGCACATTCGTTCTTATCCTTCGAAGTCGTTGCACATACTGAGGGCGGCTGATTTTCCAAAGTTTGCTCGTACCTTCGCGCCGCGAAGATTCGGTTCAACAAAAAGTGCAAGTGATTCACGGATTGAGGGCGGCTCCTTTCAAAACGTGGCACTCGCCGTATCGCCGCGTACACCCGTTAAACATTTGCAAGAGTTCCGCTGCATCTCGCAATTAACGTACCCTAAATTGCGTTCAGGAACGATTCAGGACTGTCAGGGCGCAGCTGTTATGGTTATTCGCGGTGTTGAACTACTAGGAATGGTGTCCTGGCACGATTCAGGATCGTCAATACGCACCAGTCAGGTGGGCTCGAGGCGTTGAAATCGTGATAACGGTGTTTTGGCACGCTTCAGGATCTTCGAACGGTTCTCAAAACGGAGCACTTCCCTCAGTGGACATGAACCCTTGCAGGGACTCATGAATAGGGATCTTGTAGGGACGGTCTATTCCAACATCGTTGGTGAATATTGGATTTGCAATGGACCTCTGCCTTCTCCTCCTCTTCCTACCGCCTCCTCGTCCATAGACGTCCACGTAGATACACCGAACACCGACCGCATCGACAGCGAAGCCGACGGCGACAGAAACCAACGGACAGAGAGCTGCCCAGAGGAACAAACTAGCGCAACAGCAAAACAGCCGACCGAACCGAACCGAGGCAGCCGAACGCGAAAGCAGCCGACAGAGCCGAGTCTCAAACACCATCGTTGCGTTCCAGCCTCCTCTCTCTCCTGCTCCCCCTCCCCCTCCTCTTCCCCCTCCTCCTCCCTCTCCTCCTCCTCCTCCTCCTCCCCCTCCTCCTCCCCCTCCTCCTCGCCCTCCCCGACCCCTGGAGCTCTGGACCTTTTTCCTGCGGCCCGCTTAGCATGGAGATTCTTGGGCGGTCCCAGGATCCAATGAAGGTCCCGGAGGCCCAACATAATCCAAAAGCTAAACCTCCCGCCATGATGTCTTCACGACGCGAGGAGGTCTGGAACCCTCCCCCTCTTCTCTTCCTCTTTCGCTTCCCCCTCCCTCTCCCTCCCCGTCCCCCCCCCCCGCACTCCTCCCTCTCGCCGCCCCCTCGGCGGTTGCGAGCAGTGCCCGACGGCGTGCCCCGCGCCGCTTTGTGTCGCGGGCAGCACCGTGGGCAAAGACCGGGCGGCTGGCTGGCTGGCGGGCCAAGAGATGATCTGATATGCTTCCCCGAAGGCTGGCCATCGCTCGGACGTCCATTCCCTGTGCTTTTTTAGGTTTCGTGCGTGGTTTTCTCGCCAAATGATCAAGAATGCTCCTCGATGGCCCTCGCCGAAGGAAAAATGCACACGTCCGAGCGATGCCAAGAAGCAGTGCTGGCACTTAAAGGGGCCCTTGCTTGTGTCTCTTGGCTGAAGAAGGTGCACGGGCACGCTGGGGTTCCGCCTGGTGCTCGCCCGCTGGCGCCGCGTGGGCGCCCCATTGCCTTGGGTGACAGACGTAGCTGACGCAGCACAGAGCACACCACATAGCCTACGCCGCGCAACTTGCACAGCAAAGCTCACGGCGCACATGCCACCTCGCACGATCTGCACAACGCAGCTCGCACCGCATAGCTTACATCACAGAGCTAAAACCACAAAGCTTCCTCCGCATAGCTTCCACCTCCACAATGCAATAACTCACTGTTTGGGATTAGGCTGGCTAGTATGACACATTCTTGCTATTGCGGCACTAGTATTGCTATTACATCTGGTACAACTAGACTCGTGTGTCCCCGGCCCGCCGCCTGGTGCCCCCCGGCGACCGGGCAGCGAATCACTCCTCTTCCATGTCGTAGCCTCCCAGCTCCGCGAACTGGTCGCCCCCGAAGCAGACGTCGACCATGCAGTCGTGGCTCGCCATGCCTGGGGAGGCAATCACACAACGTCACCAACAAACATGTAAATTTGGAGGAGGCAATTCGAAACGTTTTTGGACTTTTTGCCAAACACTCGCATAACGATGTGTTCAAAACCCGGGATGGCTCCCATCGGCTGCGCCTCGTCGGGGGCGTTCTGAGGATGCCTGGCATCGTCCCGAACGGCATCCACGACCTTTTGAAGACAATCGGAAGTCAGCGCAGACTTTTGGGGTCTGCCCTCACAGGCGCGCATAACGCCAGGAACGACGATCAGATCCCCGACGATGTGATCTTCTCTATCCAGGCATTATTGTACTCCTCGATTTCGGCCTCAAGGGGCCTGCTATCCTCCCTCGGGTCCGTCAAACATGAACCTGGGGCGAAAAAACGACCCTGGGGAAATGGGTCGGGACATCTCTGGGGTCGCGAAGCGGGTCGGCATGCCAGGGATGTCGGGGGACACAAGCTTTCGAAGGTCGGCGCTGACTTCTTGGGTCAGCGCCGACTTGCATTCCTCCCAGACAAGCGGAACTCGCGACCCACACTGCAAAACAAATGCCGTACCCGCGTGCCGTGCCGTGCCCGCGTGCTGTGCCGTGCCCAACTTCTGGAATGAGGAGCAGCGAGTGCTGCAAGAGTCTTCAATTCCTCCGAGACAATAGACAAGCGCGTTCCACTACTCGCAAAGTAGCTACTCGCAAATGGCCTGGATCCGCCACAGAGGATTTACGATATGTTCCACGAGGGCATACGTATGGCTTTCTGACGTTTGCGAGTAAGCACTTTGCGAGTAGTGGAACGCGCTCGGCGAGACGAGCGAACCCATGGCCCACACTGCAAACAGGAATGCCGCCCGCATGCCGTGCCGCGCCCGCGCGCTGTGCCGTGCCTACTTTCTGGAATGCCAGCAAAAAAACGCCCCGTGCCGTGCGCGCATGCCGTGCCCGCGTGCTGCGCCATCAAGTGCCCGGTTTCCGACGTGCGGCAAGAGGGCTGCCCGCGTGCCCGGCTGTGCCAGGCCCGCGTGCCGCGCCATGCCCGCGTGCCGTGCCGTGCCAAGCTGCTTGTAGGCGGCGAGCGAGGGGGGGAAGTGAGAAGGGGCGGGCCTTCTCAGAGGGCTCGGAAAGCCCACGGCCTTTTGAGAAGTGTCCTGAGCCTCCCCCGAAGACAGGAACGACTCCTCGGCAGGCGCGAGGGCTTCTGAGAAGCCCCGCCGCCTTTTGAGGAGGCCTTCTCCTTCTCACTTCCCCCCCTCGCTCGCCGCCGAGCTTGGACTACGTCGAAATTACCAGCCTGGAACATATCCCTATCCCTATGCTGGGCATCTCCTCATCACGATGCCAATCTTAGGGATTCCCTTTTTTTTTGAGGGCGGATCCCTAAGATTGTCATCGCCTTTTGGCGTGTCAATCTTAGGGATAGGGATACGTTCGAGGCTGGTAACGAAAGGTGCTGCGCGCGCGCCGAGAACCGCGGCGTGCATGCAGCAATAAAGCCGCCCCCTTCTCACTTTCCCCACTCGCTCCAACCGAATTGAGAACACACATGGCGAATCATCATCAAGGGGGGCCCCGCTGGGTGGGGCTGGTCAATGCCGGAACCGAGCAAGCGAGCACAGCATCGCCGCGCGCGCGCGCCGAGAACTGCGGTGTCCATATGCAACAGAAGCCCCCCCCCCGCAGGGCCCTGCCGTGCCGTGCCGTGCTCGTGTACCGCGCCGGCCTGCCGCGCCGCGCCGTGGCGTGGCGTGCCCGCGTGCCCGGCCGCGCCTACGTTCAGGTCGGGCGTAGTCCCCTACAGGGGGCAGATTCAAAAATAGCAAAAAAAATAATCAGGGGACGATGTTTGATTATGTTTGAATATTTGGGGTGTATTTTTGGAGTCTTAAAAAAAAAAAATCGTCCAAAATCCCCCTGTAGGGGGACACGCCCGACATAAGCCCAGCTGCGGATTTGAGGCGAAAGACTAAAAGTACCCCCAAAATGTGCACAAATAAAATATGGTGGAAAAGTCGTCCCCAGACTGTTCTTCGACTATCTTTGACTGTTCCTCCTGTGGGGGGACAGGCCCGACTTAAGCCCAGGTTCTGGCACGCGAGAAAGGTGGCACCCGCGTGCTGTGCCACGCCCAGGTCTCGAGAACGCAGAAGGATTGCGGCCCGCGTGCCGTGCAGTGCCGTGCTCGCGTGGCATGGCGTGCGTGGGCTCTAGGGTGCTAGCAGTCGCCGCCGCGTGCCAAGCCGTGCTGTGCCAACGTTCTGTGCGGTGTCTACAGTCGGACTTCATTGGACAGGGCACACGAGAGGACAAAAGACCCTTCCGAGGGCCACATCGCCATAGGAGTGTAAGAAGACACGTGTCGCGAGGCACAAGACACAAAGGTCCCCTTGAGCTGGCAGGGTCGACCTACTAATCCGGGCCGACTATAGGTGTCGTGCCGTGCCAGCGTGCCGTGCCGTGCCGTGCAAACCATGGTTTTCTGAATGCGAGCAATTGCTGTGCCGTCCCTTGTTTTGAACATGCAAAATCAGTTCCGTGCCGTGCTGACCACGCGTCCTATCATGCAACGTTGGTGTTTTGGGTCTCTTCGCCGGTGTAAGTATGTTATTGTTTCTTCTTCGGGTGCCGTTGTTGGACTGGCGGAGGCACACCTCCCGGGCGTGGTCGGCCTTCTTCGTAGGGCAATTGTTCAGGTCAGGGCGGTTGGGCTTCACGACCGGGGTCTTGGTCTCGAACAGGAGGTTGGCCTGGGCGACGCCCGTCGTCCCGACGCGGGAGCGAATCAACGGGCGGGTGTCGTCAGCGGGGTTGCCGTTGAAATTGCCACAGTGGCCGTCCTGGCCGCCAGGCTGCTTCGGCATCGTGATCTGGACGTTGATGTAGTCGCCCTCGCCGGGCTCGTTCCAGCGGTTGATCTGCAGCGAGACGAAGTCAGGCAACTTCACGTGCACCACGTGCATCTCCTTGCCCTGCCGGCCCGGCTGCATGACGTCCCCGTTGCTGTCCGTGACGACACCGATCATCGGGTCCTGGTTCCCCCACTTGTCGGGGAAGTTGGGGATAATGGGCTGCCCGTTGAAGGAGGCCTCGGGGAGCAGAGGGGGAGGGCGCGAGGGCAGGCACATGAGTAGGGTAGGGGATCGACTGTAGAAATTACGCACCCCAAAATTAATGTGGTCGTCGAACTTACGGAAAATCCGCCGACCCTGTCGGAGTGTGAGGGGCTGTGCCGTTCGTCGTCGTCGTCGTCGTCGCCGTCGTCGTCGTCGTCGTCGTTGCAGTGCTCTGGCGGGCTTGAGGGAAATCGCCCTATGTCGTAATCACGTCAAAGGGAAGCCCCTTCCCTTCGTCCCTTCCCCGGCCGGGGGGGGGTCCCGGAGGGGTCCCAGGGGGGTCCCAGGGGTCCCGGCGGGGTCCCGGGCGGGTCCCGGGGGGGGGTCCTGGGGGGTGTCGCCGCCCAAATACACTTTCACTCCCCGCGCGTCCGGCGCGGTCCCCGCGCGGTTCTGGAACCCCGCGCGGCTTCCCAGTTCCCAAAATGGCCCCTCGAGGCCGAAAATGACGAAAGACCGAACATGTAGAACAACTCCCTCTCCCCCTGTCGCTCCTCCTCCTCCTTCTCCTCCTCCTCCTCCTCCTCATCCTCCTCCTGCTCTTCCTCCTCCTGCTCCTCCTCCTCCTCCTCCTCCTTCTCCTCCTCCTCCTGCTCACTCCGCGGACTCCAAACCCCACGCTCGAGGATCAAAGCTTGCTGGCGCCGCCGGAGCCCTCTCTTCGGCCACCCTCCTGCTCCTCCTCTTCCTCCTTCTCCACCTCCTCCTTCTCCATCTCCTCCTCCTCCTCCTCCTCCTCGTCCTCCTCCAACTCCTCCTTCTCCCGCCAACCCCCTGTCCTACTCCTCCTCCCTCCTCCTCCGCCTCCTCCTCCTCCTCCTCGTCTCTCCTCCTCCTCCTCCTCCTCCTGCTCCTGCTCCTCCTCCTCTCCTTCCTCCTCCTCCTCCTCTCTCTCCTCTCCTCCTCCTCTCCTCCTCCCCCCTCCTCCCCTCTTCCTCCTCCTGCTCCAACTCCACCTCCACGCTCCTCCTCCCTCCTCCCTCCGCCTCCTCCTCCTCCTCCTCCTCCTCCTCCTCCATCCTCCTCCTCCTCCTCCCTCCTCCTCCTCCTCTCCTCCTCCTCCTCCTCCTCCTCCTCTCCTCCTCCTCCTCCTCTCTCTCTCCTCCTCCTCCCCCTCCTCCTTGCCTCCTCCTCCTCCTCCTCCTCCTCCTCCTCCTCCTCATCTTCCACGGCCTCCGTCTCCACCCACTTTGTCGCCGACGTCGTGGTCCTCTGCAGGGTCGGCGGCACTGGCAGTCAGGCCTTCGCAATATCTAGGATTCCTAATTGAATGACGATCACTCTTCGCCTCCGTCGTAGATTCGAAAGGGGAAAATCAATTCTGGGGCGAATCAATTCTGTAGTCAATCCCCTGCTCGAACACTCGATGCCGTGATGTTCTGCCACACGGGGTTCCCGGAAATCCCGAGCCCGCCAGAGGGCCGCCCGGGGGCCACCCGGGGGCCACCCGGGGGCCGCCCGAGGGCCGCCCGTGCCGCCTGGCCGCCCCGGGGCCGCCCTCCGCCGACGGCTGCCGTAGGCCGCCGACGGCCGCTGATGGCAGCGACGGCCGCAGCGACGGCCGTTGGAGCCCCCGAAGACCGCCGATGGCAGAGGAGGAACAAAAACCACATGACCCTAAACAGTCGCCTTCAGCGCGGATCTTTTGGATACGCGCTGGACCCCCCCTCCCTCGCGCGCGGAACGCGCCAGGGGCGGCGCCTGAGGCGCCGGTGGAAGGGCCCCCACGCGGATCCAACAAATCTGCGCGGAGCGCCAACAGTTTGTCTGGACACCCCACGAAGGAACAGGAGCAGAAACCCACCCACATCATCATCATCATCATCATCATCATCATCATCATCATCATCATCATCATCGTCATCATCATCATCAGCATCATCATCACCATCATCATCACCATCAACATCATCGTCATTATCATCACCATCACCATCCACATCAGCAGCAATATCATTACCAACATCATCATGATAACCACCATCGTCATTATCACCACCATCTTCATAATCAGCAGCACAGCCTACATTGTCACCAACATCACCATCATCACCACCACCATCATCATCAGCATCATCATCAAGTTCATCATCACCATCAGCATCGCCTCCCCCCCCCCGCCAGTCACACACTCACACACTCACGTATTCACACTCGTCACCACCAACAACAACATATTCATCGTCACTCAGTCCCTCAATCATTCACTCACGCACTCATCACAATCATCAACATCAGCATCACCGACATCACTCTTGCAGTCATGCACAGTCGCACACAAACGCCTTCACACACTCATGCATTCAGACAATCCGTCATCTTGAAGAAAGTTATTGCGGGAACCTCGTCCGTGAGTGAAGTGTGAGGGAATCTCAAGCGGGGGGGCACTCCCTATTGGGCCCGCATTTCATGCTGGAATTCAAAGCGGGTCATTCAAATCTTGTCATTGTCGTGACGTGTGGGCCCCTCGCGCTTGAATTTAGAAGAATCCCTCAGGCGGGAACCTCGTTCGCGAGTGAATTGCGAAAAAGTCCTAAGCGGGAGCCCCTTCCCTATGCAGCCCACACTTCATGTTGGTAACCCGAACGGGTCATCCAAATCCTGTAGTTGTCGTTCGTTTCTTTTGGGCCCCTCGCGCCCGAATCTTGAAGACGCCTCAGGCGGGAACTTCATTTGTGAGTGAGCTGCGCGGAAGTCCCAGGCGGGGGCCACCATCGTTTCTAAAAACGAAAAGTGCGCGTCGAACGATTTTTTTCGCCCCCGCTACCTACCGCAGGGAATATGGCTGCAGGTGCGCGGCTTCGCGGAATCCCCCATCTACCATAAGGTCACCGAAGTGCTGCTACAGGGCGCCGAAGGCGCTGACGACGACGGCGAGGCCGAGGCGCGGGCGAGGAACTCGCTGATGTTCAGGCCCAACGAGCAGGAGCTCACCTGACAGAGCTCGGGGCCGCACGTCGCGCGCCGCTCGGGGCTCACCCTGACGCACGCGTCGCGCTTGACCTCCACGCTGTCGCGATGTCAGACGCTGCGCAAGGGCGTCACCGTCGACTGCGCCAAGGATGGCGCTGATCGCACGCGCGTGCGGAACGTGCTGATCCTGAGGCCGCCAACGTGGACAATTCCCGGAGCGCTGGCCGCCGGCGTCCGGGCGGAAGGCGCTGTGGACGTTTGACGAGATAGCGGAAAGTTCCAGAACCGAAGCGGAGCAGCTTGCAACACGGCTGAGTTTAGCGCTGCCCCCCGCCTGAGCGCGGCCGCGCCCACCTCAAGGCCCGCGGGGTTGTCCCAACAGCCAGGCCCGCGGGGTTGTCCCGACGGCTTGCCCCCGCACCCCAGCGGCCCGCGGGGTTGTCCCAAAGGCATGGCCCGCGGGATTGTCCCAAAGGCTTCGCGATCTAGCCGTCGGCGAACGCGCGCGTGCTGGCCGAGGCGGCGACGGCGCCGAGGAAAATCGACTTGCTTGCCCCGACCAGGGGGAGGAAGGGGAGGTGCGCATGGAGAAGGGGCAGGAGGATGAGGAGGGGGGAAGGGGTAGGGTGAGGGTGGTGATGAGGGTGGTGATGGGGGGAGGAGAGGGCAGAGCAGAGGGCGAGAGGAGGGTGTCCGCCAGGGCGAGGAGGAAAGGGCTAAGGGCAAGCGAAACAAACTCTAACGCGGGGTCCCACCGTCGGAAGAATGTATGTGGCGTTTTTCCTCCTCCGAGATCAGCCACCCGCCAGCGCTACATGCCTGGGCCGCGGCCACGGGCGCCGCCTTGGGCGAGTCGTGCGTTGACGGTGTCCGTGCTCAGCGAGGCCCAATTCCCTCCCGTCAGAATGTAATCGCGACGCGAACATGGCCAGGGCGAGCATGTCCCGTGGGCGGGGGAGGTGAGCGGAGAGCGGAGGGGAAACTGCCTTCAGCGCGCTGATGCGGAGGACGTTCCTCTTGCCGGTCAGGCTGTCCAGGAAAGGTCCGCCGACGGCGACCTCCTTTGGATGGCATGAGCAGAGAACCTTTCGGAGTGAGAAGGAGGAGGAAGAGGAGGAGGAGGAGGAGGAGAGGAGGAGGAGGAGGAGGAGGAGAAGGAAGGAGGAAGGAGGAAAGAGGACGGAGGAGGGAGAACTATAGGATGATGAGGAGGAGGAGAAGAGGAGGAGGAGGAGGAGGGGAGGAGGAGGAGGGGAGGGGGAGGGGAGGAGGAGGAGGAGAGGGGGAGAAGGGGGAGGATGAGGAGGAGGAGGAGGAGGAGGAGGAGGAGGAGGAGGAGGAGGAGGAGGAGGAGGAGGGAGAGGAGGAGGAGGGCAGACTTCTTGGCTCGGCGCCGATGCCCCCTCCCTGGCCGGCGGAGCGCGCCAGGGGCGCTATTAGGGGGAGGCGGCGCCCCTGGGGCCCAGCGCCGGGCCGAGAAGTCAGCGAGGGGCTCCGAAGCGTTCCGTGGATTGCCAGCCTCGAACGTATCCCGTATCCCTATCCCTAAGATTGACACGCCAAAAGGCGATGCCAATCTTAGGGATCCGCCCTCAAAAAATACGGGAGTCCCTAAGATTGGCATCGTGATGAGGAGGTGCCCAGCATAGGGATAGGGATATGATCCAGGCTGGTAAGTGGATGCGGGGTTCGGTCCCTCGGGTCCTTGACGACCGAGAGGCCGTTGGTAATCGGCGTGGGCATGTAGCGGGCCTGGATCCAGACCGTCTGGCTCTTGACGAGCCAGTACTCGCCCTGGGAGTAGAAGCTCACGTGGGACCTCGGGTGTTGTCGAGGAGGTGCAGGGGGCACGCTTGCTCGTTGTGAAGGTCGGCATGCTGTATCATCTGTTCGGCACCGTTGCTGCTGCGTTTTTAGGTCTGGGGTCGGCCCGTCTCCCACCTGCCTGTTCTCTGTTTCGTTGCTGTTGCATCTGAACTTGGCTACGTTCCTAGACATCACAATGCCGCCCGCCTGTCTAGAAAAAAACGCCCCCCCCCCCCCCCCGACGCTTTGAGGAACAGCTGAGCGTGGGACCCGTCGAACGTCGTCACGTGCGGGTCACCGAAGATCCTGCAGAGGCCGAACGCCGGCAAAGGCGGCGCTGGGGTAGGGAGGACGACCGGCCCTGGCGTGGTCGTTGGCGGTGGCGTGATCGGCGGCGTCGGTGCAGGAGAGGGCTCCGGCGCGGGCGACGTGGTGATGATGGAGGAAGAATAGAACCCAGACCCGAACGCGTCGTAACCACACCACGGCGAAAAGCTGTTTGCTGACCCTCGGCATCCAGGAAAGCCTCGCCGAGCCTGGGGACCGTCGAAGAACGACCCAGGATGAAGAGCCGACCCAGGGGAAAAGGTCGGGACTTCGTGGGACTCCGTTGAACAAGAATTGAGTCATCGCGTGTCTGGAACGGCATGAACATAAACCTTGCCGTCGCTCGGACGTCCATATCCCGTGCATTTGTCGGTTTCGTGCGTGCTTTTGTTGCTCGATGGCCCAGGATGGTCCTCGATGGTTCTCGCCGAGATGAAATGCACACGTCCGAGCGATGCCAAGAAACTTTTGGAACTCCGCACGGGTTTCTTGGATCGGCGCTGGGCCCCCCGGTGGTGTCTCTGGTGCCACCGGTGCTGACGCGCTCCGTGCGCCAGGGAGGGGAGTCCAGCGCCGATCTAAGAGGCCCGCGCGGAGCTTCGAAGTTTGCGCTTATACTTAGGTCGGGCCTGTCCGCCTACAGTTTGCGCCTATGCTTAGTTTGCGCTTACGCTTATCCTTATGCTTTACTCAAAAGATGCCCCCAAATGCTAAAACAAATCCACCGACTATGTTTTAACTATTTTTGGACATGCCCACTGTAGAGGGACAGGCCCGACTCAAGCTCATGCCTCTGTTTCTTCCTCCAGACGAGCGGGGTCGTCGTGGTCGTCGTCGTGGTGTAGTCGAAGAACGACAGAAGGTAAAGCAGCAGCGGGATCAGCCACAGGAGGCACAGGGACCACCAGCAGCTGCAGCCCGGCGCCACGGCGGGCACCGGGAACAGCGCGACGTTGCCGGCCCCGCAGCCGACGTACTTGTAGGTGGTGCAGGCGATGTACTCGCCCGTGCCCTGCGGAACCCGGGCGCCCGACGCAACGCTGCCCTCTGCACGCGGCCCCAGCTGTCCCGAGCCCCTCTCCGGGTGCAGTCTTCGGGAGCGGCCAACGAGGGGGGCGTCCTTAAGAGGGGGGGGTGCAAATCGTGACCGGCGGCATGTGCGCGGCCCAGCGGGGGGGCCAGGGGCGCAACGAAATAAGAAGAGGCGCCATGAAATCTGGGGAGATCTCATGGCCCCCGCCATGATATCCACCCCCCCCTAGTCATCACCCCCCTCTTTGCCGCCCCCGAAGACTGTCGCCCCGAGATCCATTTCTGATGGTCCCCGGGGCTCGAGAGCGGGCTCGCAGGGGCCGAAATCGAGGAGAGTCGCCCGGGTCAAGACATCAGATCGTCGGAAAGCTGGGCCCTGCACGCCAGCACCGGGCCACTCTGGCTGGGCCCCGCGGCCAGTGCACGGCCAGCCCATCGGCAAGGTTTGTGGATGCCACGACAATGGACACCCTAGCAGTCCTATCATTGAACTTAGAATGTGTTTAAAAATGTCGGAAACATGTTCTAAGAAACAAATTCTAAACATGTATTGGATATGTTCAAAAAATGTTTTACACATGCTTAACACATGCTTTAGGCATCTGGCAATCATTTGGCGACGTGCTTCCTCTCCACTGCTCGTCCTCCACGAGGCAAGGCTCGCTCGACCCGGTGTGCGCTTGGCGCCCCCAGGCCGGCCTCTGGCACCACTCCGTACGTCCACCCGCCGACGCCTCCTCCGCCGCAGCTGGCGCACCCGCCGCCGCAGCCTCGGCCGCAGACGCAGGAGGCGGGACCGCACCCCGCCTCGGCGCCGCCGCCGCCGGCGAACCCGCCGCCGGGGAAGCCGCGCGTGCTCATCATCGCCCCGCTGGCCATGGGCCCGCACGGCCTGCGGGCGCTCATCATCATGGGCCCCCCGCTGGCCATGGGTCCACCGATCACGGGCATGGCGGGCGGCGCCAGCGCGGGGTGCGGCGCGCGAGGGGGCCCTGCCTGGCAGCCAGTGGGGGACCTGTGGGCTGGGGCTCCTCGGGGACCCTGGGCCAAAACGACTGCGAGACATGCGCGTCACAACCTCGATATCACCGTCACAAGAAGGCAGCCTCCTGCCACCCGTAACACGAGTGCTACGGCCTGATCAGAGGAAAACCTTGAGCAAGCGGAGACGCGACCAACATCTCGGCGTATGTATCCGTGGCTGCCTCAGATAGCGTGTGGGCTAACACCTGACTGTTGCACCTCTATCCAACACTGCTCATACAGTCAAAAGTAAATAACTTCTGACGAATGCAAAAATGCCGCATGCGGCCGTCTCGGCAGCACCGTGCACACAGCTGCGCAGACGCATCACATGGATCTCTGCGACGGGCTACCCGTGATGCTCCGAGCCTGCATCATTATTCTTACAATCCAAATGAGCTATTCTTACAAGTCAAATCTCACCGCCCTGCTTGAAAGCATCTTTAGTGTGCGTGGTTATTTCGAGTATGTATGTACAAGCGGCTCCAAGACGAGCAACCTGGGGAGTTAACTGCAAGGAGGAACGATAAGCAACAGGAAGGCGAGGAGGAGGATGAGGGAAGAGCAGGAGGAAGTAGAGGAGGAAAGGCAAGACCAGGGAGAAGAGCGGGGATTAGAACGGGGACGAGGACGGACGGAGAAGCGCTTCTTGAGGTGCACTGTGAAACGTGTAGGGCTGGCAGGTCTCACGTTCCTGGAAGCACGCTCCTGCTGACAGACAGAAGGGCCATCTTACTTTTGACCCCGTCGGCTCCTTTAAACCAGACGCGCCAAGGGCAAAACTCCCTGAATTGAGAACGCACACGTGCAATGTCCGAATCCAGAAATGCTGATACTGTTACTTCCGCTGGCGTTCGCTGGCGGGCCGCCGCCTTTTCGCCTCCGCTTTCCTTCCGCCAGCTTCCGTCCAGGGCGGGGACGCGCCGAAGGCGAAGCTTGGCCCCCAGCAGGAGCGCGAGGAGTCTGGCCCTGTCTTCCAGCCGCCACGAGATTCTCTGGGGCGGTCCAAGGTATCGGAAAGCTAATACATTCGTTTTCCGTATAAGCGCTTCCTGGCTGGAGTCACGACGAAATATGCCGCGCAGCCTTGAGATCGGATGAGCATGACGATTGAAGCGGCCATCCCGAAGAGCCTCTCTCAACACGAATGCAAAGCAACATCATTGAAAACTCACACTGCCCAATTTGCACCGACCTCCACTCTCGTCGGACCGCCGAGACACGGAACGATGCGATTGCTGACGGGTTCCCCCATCGGGCTTGGCCACAGAAGGGAGGCTGGGAGCAGGAAGGATACAGTCAGAATGCCTACTGCCATGAAGATCGCGAGCAAGACGCTGGACTGTGCAAGCTTCCCTCTGTATTCGTTCAGCACACGATTCGTATACAGTCGGACTTGATTGGACAGGACACGCGAGAGGACACAAGACCCTTCCGAGGGCCACATTGCCGCAGGAATGTGAGAAGCATGGGTCGCGAGACACAGGACACAAGGGTACCCTTGATTTGGCAGAGTCGACCTACTAATCTGGGCCGACTGTGCTGCCATGAAGTTCGCGAGCAAGACGCTGTGCAAGCTTCCCTCTGCACCCGTTCAGCCCACGATTCTTCTGTGTGCCCCCCTGGGCCCGACGATGTGCTGCAGCGTTGCGTGCTGCGTGCCCCTCAGCACTCTCGTTTCTCTGGCCTGCGGTGCCCACCATTCCATCATGCTCGCCACGGTCTGCACGCGGCGACTGTGGTGTCAAATCTGCGCAGATCTCTTCTGGAAAGAGATATGTGCAGATCTGACTCCGGGCCGATCAGAGAAATCCGCGCGGACCTCAGAACACGTTTGCCAGGGCCGACCATAGCGGTGTTCAAAACGAAATGGCGCTTAAACAAAATAAGGAAACTCTACCCAACGTTTGAAATGATACCAGAGAAAACCCAATCATAATCTTTTTAGGGCTGTAGGGCTACAGGGCTACAGGGCTATATGGGCTCTTGGGCGCTATATAGGCTATATGGCTATATTGGTTATAGGGCTATAGGGCTATAGGGCTATAGGGCTATAGGGCGATAGGGCGATAGGAATATAGGGCTATAAGGCTATAGGGCTACAGGGCACGGGGCACCCGGGCACCCTGCCCCCGGGCACCCACCCGGGCACTGGGCACCCGTCACCCGGGCACCCGGGCACCCGGGCATCCGGGCACCCGGGCCCATCCACCGAATCGGCGGCGAACCCGGGCACCCGGGCACCCGGGCACCCGGGCACCCGGGCACCCGGCCACCAAATCGGCGGCGAACCCGGGCACCTGGGCACCGGGCCCCAGCCCCCGAATCGGCGGCGAGCCTCACCCCTACACCACAGGCAAGCTCTGATTGGGGAACAAACGCTGGAAACCACACCAGTGCCAAACGACACGGACAGCAAGACGAAGAAAGCACACAGACGGAACACGAAACGACACGGGCCCGAAACGCGAGATGAAACACAACAGAAATGGCCAGACCAAGCCGAACAGCGCCGCGGTCGGTCCTCGTGCTTACAGTCGACCTCGATTGGACAGGACACGCGAGAGGACACAAGACCCTTCCGAGGGCCACATTGCCACACGAATGTGGGAAGCATGGGTCGCGAGGCACAGGACACAAGGGTACCCTTGACTTTGCAGGGTCGACCTACTCATCTGGGCCGACTGTATCTTGCTCCCTGCCCCTCGAAAAAAAAAGCTGGCGCATCGAGATGCGTGCCCTCTCGGCCCGGCGACCCTCCTCCGCCTGCGGCCACGTCCGCGCCGACGCCGACGCGGATGGGAGCACCGCACCGGCGCCTGGCTGCTGCTGCCGCCGCGGCTGCCACCTGAGGAGAGGGGGAGATCCTGGCGGCGCGCAGATCGGGGAGGCGCACGACTCGGGCTCGGGGGACTCGGGCTGGCCCAACAAAGGCCATCACGAAAGCGACGAGGCCCCATCTGAAATCTGGCGCGAGCTCCCGCTGCAAACATCCCACGAAACCTGGACCGTCAGAATCCAGGACGCGCTCGTTCAAAAGCGTCGGCTAACCCGAGATCCGGCATGCACGAGGCGTACGTTCCCCCGAGCAGAAGGGTGGGTAGGGGGAGGGGGAAGGCTCTTTCAAAGGAGGCTGCTTCTTAGAAGGCGCCAACCCCACATCCGTAGACAAGGCCCGCGCCGTCTGAGAAGCAGGGGTGCTTCTAAGAAGCCTTCCCCCCTCCCCCCACCCCCCCCCTTCTGGAGTCCCGAAACGGTGCGGTGACGGACCGTGCGGTGACCTCGAGATCCCCCAAGACCTCATCGCACGGTCCGTCACCGCACGGCCTTGGGACCCCGGAGGCCCCTGTTGCCCGAGATGTCCTCGGAGAACGGCCTCGAGTCCCAAAACCGTGCGGTGACCCCGAATCCCCACCAACTCACCGCACGGCGTGGTCACCACCCCCTTCTGGGGGCCCCCGGGAGAGGCGGGGAGGACGCTGACCCCGGACCTCCGAAGGATGGCTCTCGTCGATCCCTGCGATGTTTCTCAGACTCGGCCTCCTGGGCTCCGTCTCTTCGAGCCCTACGGTCGGATTCGATTGGACAGGACACGCGAGAGGACGCAAGACCCTTCCGAGGGCCGCATTGCCGCAGGAATGTGAGAAGCATGGGTCGCGAGGCACAGGACACAAGTGTGCCCTTGACTTGGCAGGGCCGACCTGCTGATCTGGGCCGACTGTAGAGGGCCATCGCAGTGAGTCCGGGCTGAATTCAACTGACCCTGGGAATTGGTAATGTTCACGCTCGGGGACCTCTTTTTGTCGTGCTTTCCTCCTCCCAACGCTCCGCAACCACCAGGAGCACGCCGCCGGGAAGCATGCATCGAAGCACTGGCGGAAGGGTCAACGTTTTTAAGCCCGAACCGTCATATTTTATCCCCAGGGCAAAGACACACTGGCTGCACCCTGTAACGGTCTGGACGGCCAGCGCCTGCCAAACGAGTAAGAAGCACGCGACCCAAAAATGCCCCTTCGGGCCAGCGCTCACGCTTGGGGACCGGGACGCGCTCTGGGCGCCGCGCCGACGCGAGGCGGGCCACTGTCGGCGGCGCGACACGCCCAGCAACCGCTCCTGACCGCGTCTTTGTCGTGCCCTACCATGGCCATCCGGAGCCCTGGCCTGGCGCACACCCTGGTGGCGCGCAGAGGGGGGGCCAGAGGGGGAGGGGGGAGGCCTCTTCTTAAAAAAAGGAGGCTCCTTCGTAGACGGCGCGGGCCTCACGTCCACGGACAGGGCCCGCACCTCCTCGGAGCCAGCCTCCCCCCTGCCCCCCCTCTGCGCGCCGCCAAACACAAGGCTTCTGGCCGAGGCCTCGAGGGTCTCTGCACCGTCGTCGGGCCCAGCATGGCCCTGAGCAGGCCCTGGCAGCCGACCCTGCGAAGAGTGCAGCGTCGCGAACAACTCACGACTCGAGCCCTGGACCCCACCCTTTCTGCCGCATCGACTCGATGTGTGATGGGTGCCGGGGCCCGAAGCCGGGCGACACCGGGCGAACACACCCAGCGTGAACTGGCCATCGCTCGGACGTCCATTCCCTGCGCTGTTGTTCGGTCTCGCGCGTGTTTTTTTTGGTTGCTCGATGGTCCGGGATGGTCCTCGATGGTCCTCGCCGAGGTAAACATGCACACGTCCGAGCGATGGCGAGGGGCGAGCACGCCCAGCGTGAAAAAACGCAGCGCGCGAATCCCAGGGGCTGGCCAGGCACGGCGGTGCCATGGGGTGCCCTCTGCGGTTTCCGTCCGTCGGCCACCGTGCGCCCCGCAGCTGCCATCTCGGCCCGAGGTCGGTTGGCCACAGCGAGGGCGGCGGGGAGTGGGACGTGGGTGCTCCAGATGTCGTAACACAAGGGAGGGGGTCACAATCCTCCCAGACCACAAGTTTTGGACCCCCCCAGACCATCCATGAAAGGCCGGCACTTTGCCCAGACCCCCCCTAACCCTTCAAGGCAGATCAAATCAGACCCCCCCGCCAAATGTAACCCCCCCCTACTTTATTATGGAATCCGGAGTATACGCAAGAGTGACCCTGGGTGAGAGTGACCTTTGGTGCGCGGCATTTCGGGGGGCGCGGGGGAGGCAAACCCAAGCGCGCAGGCCGCTGATATCGCGTCGCGCTCGGCGATCGGGGGGCCCCTATGGGCGCCCGCACCACAGGTCACTCCGGCGAGGGGTCACTCTTACGTGTAGTCGAGAGAGGGAGGGCCATCGGGACAGCCGGCGCGCCCTCAAGGGGGCAGAGTGGAAGCGAGCAAAAACAGCCAATGCAGTAGACAGTCACGATAAGAAGTTGCTGGTTTCGTTGGGCAGCATTGGGGGCAGATCCGCGAGACTGTTCGAACTCGCACACCTGTGCACATAAGCGTGCAGAGCACAAACTTGCATACGGCCTACGATCGCCTCGCTGCGTGCGATAGACAGTTTTCGCTGCGAGAAACTCTCGGCCGCACTTTTCGTCGATTTTTGACGGTCCTAGGGTGGCCCAGAGCCTGGTGGGCCCCGAAAACGGCAGGGCCGTTTTTTCACCGTTTCCGAAAAAGTGTCCCTTGAAAATGGAATCGGCAAAAAAGGGCGACTGGAAACAGCAGCAAAAGCGGCTCCAGGATGGGAACCCGAGCGGGAAACCCGTAAAAGAACGGCGACGGAACCGGTAAAAAAGCCGGCGTCGGAACCGGCAACAAAAACGGCAGAACGGAACCGGTAAACGACGGCCCAGAGCTGTCGTGGCTTCCACTCCTCCTCCCCTCCCCCTCCTCCTCCTCGTCGTTCTTCTCCTCCTCCTCCTCCTCCTCCTCCTCCTCCTCCTCCTCCTCCTCCTCCCCCTCCTCCTCCTCCTCCTCCCTCCTCCTCCTCCTCCTCCTCCTCCTCCTCCTCTCCTCCTCCTCCTCCTCCTCCTCCCTCTCCTCCTCCCCCGCTCCTCCTCCTTTCCCTCCCCCCGTGGGGGGGTGCAGAGTTCCCTGGGGCACCTGCCGGCGGGTCGACTTCCCTTTTTTGGTGCGCCCGCGGTGCCCCGCGGGCGAGCGGGGAGCCCGGCCCGCGGGAAGCGGAGCCCCGGCCATCGCTCGGACGTCCATTTCCCGTGTTTTTGTCGGTTTCGAGCGTGGTTTTTGTCGCCAAATGGTCCAGGATGCTCCTCGATGGCCCTCGCCGCGGAACAAGCGCACACGTCCGAGCGATGCCAGGAGCCTGCAGGGGACGGGCCCGGAGGGTCCCTCCCGAGGCCGAGAAGTGTGCGAAAACGACGTCGGGGCCCCTTGCCTGCAGAGCTCTCTTGCCTCGCTGCTTCAGGGCGGGATCTGGGGGGGGGGGTACTTTTGAGAGGGGGAGGGCCCAGCAAAGGTCCGTCTGGTCGTTCCCCAGAGGCCTCTGCAAACCCCCCGATTGTTCCCTGCAAACTGTATAGAAGACCCCCAAACCGGAAAACGTCTAAACACAACGATCCTCGATTCATGCTCTCCTCCTCCTCCTCCTCCTCCTCCTCCTCCTCCTCCTCCCTCTCGTCCTGCCTCCTCCACCCATATTATCGCCCACTTCTCGTGCTGAAGCACGCAAGGAGGGAGGAGAACGAGCAGAGACGAGGGAGGGAGGAGGTAGGAGGGAGCATGGACTGCCCCTTCCCTCCTCCACCCCTGCCCGGGAGGGGCGGAGCAGGAGGAGGAGGAGGATCAGCATGGTGGAGGAAGGAGGGTGGAAAGTGGAGGACAGTGCACATAAACAGACACGGCCTGCCCCTCGCAATGGCGGAGAGTGTGGGACGGTGAGGACAGAGGGGGCGGAGGAGAACGAGGGGGCTGGGAGGCAGGGCGGAGCCGGGCGGAGGGAGCAGGGAGGGAGGAGGATGAGGATGAGGACGAGGGGGATGAGATTGAAGAGGATAGACGCGACGGCCCAGGCTAGCCAACGTTGCTGCAGCGTTCAAAATAGGAGGAGGAAGGAGGAGGAGGAGGAGGAGGAGGAGGAGGAGGAGGAGGAGGGGGAGACGGAAGAGGGGGCGGAGGTGAGGGGGATGAGAACAGGAAGATGGAGGACACCATGTGGAGGGACACCGTGCGCGTGGCTGCCCCTGTGCCCCACCTCCCCCCCTGGGGCCCTCACGTGGCCGACCGACCACGGGGGGTATCGGCGACGATGCCGTCGCGGTGGCCCCATCGGCCGCAGCGCCCCCCTGGGAGGGAGGGGGAGGCGGGGGGAGGGGGTGGCAAGACGAACGGGGGGGGGAGTCGATTCTCGCCCCTGCCTCGTCCGCCGCCTCCTCCCTCCTGCGCCTGCCCCCTCCTCTTTCTCGCTCCTCTGTGCCCTCTGTCTCCTCCTCCCTCTGCCTCGCTGCTCCCTCCTCCGCCTCTTCCCTCTTTTTCCGGTCTCCGCCCCCCTCCTCCCTTCCTCCCTCCCTTCCTCCCTCCCTCCCTCCCTCCCTCCCTCCCTTCCTTCCTCTCTCCCTCCCTCCCTCCCTCCCTCCCTCCCTCCCTCCTCATCCTTTCCCTCTTCCGCCTCTTCCTCCTCGCTCTTCCTCCCTCCTCCCTGTTGTTCCCTTCTCCCTGCTCCTTCCAGGGCTCGACCTAAGCAGTGTGTTTCATGTTCGTTTTGTTGTTGTTGTTGCCCTTCGTTCTATGTTCGTTCCCCTTTCTGCCGCCGAACGGTTTCAAAACGAACTCGGTCCACGAAATCGTCGAAACACAGTTTAGGTCGAGCCCTGGATTGTTCTACCTCCCCGTTCCTCCCTCTTCGCCCTGGTCCTCCTCGCCCTCGTCCTCCTGTCATTCCTCGGTTTCTGTTGTTATTGCTTTGGAGAGGGGGACACACGCAAACTAAGCTACAACTATCGTGCTACCACAAGGGATGCACAATCCACCATCGTGTCTCGAGGCACGAAGTGGAGTGTCCTCCAGTCCCGTCAATCCCACCAGCCCTCTGGGCGTAGGTGGTCTAGGGAGTTTCCCCTTCCATCCCCTTCTTCCTCTTCAGGGAGGGGTTTTTCATTGTTCCCTATTAGTGTACACCCCCTCCCCCACCTAGCCGGCGGCCAACCTGGAACCATGCCGACACAATGCGGGCCACCCCCCACCGTCCCTGTCAACAAACAATACAAAACGCACTCTGCCTCCACACTTGGAGCATGCGCCTAACACGATACGGCCCCCCCAGAATCTGTCAACAAAAAAACACTACAAAGCACACTTCGGGGCAATGTCTTGAGTCATGTTCGTGAGGCCCGCGAGCACTTTGTATTGTTTTTGACAAGGACAGCGGGGGTGTCAGCATATTTCCTGCTGTGCGCAGGGCTACCATCCCTGACAAAAAAAAACAATACAACATGCACATCGCGGCTAAACCTGGATCATGCGCGGCCACTCCGCGATCACTGTCGAGTGGTTTTTGACAGGGACGGCCGGGGTGGTGGCGCGTGGCCTGTTGTGCGCAGGCCCACCAGACACAATGATGGGCACTGGCTTTCGACAGGGATGTTGGGGGGCGACATGTTCCCGATGTGCGCTGTCACGTGCGCAGGCGCACCTGACGCACTCTGCACGTGCCCCGAACGTGGCGCACCCGGCGCGGCTGTGGAGGGTGCTGCGCACCTCGTGCACTCGGAGCACGTGGAGCATCTGGCGCACCAGGCGTGCCTGGCACGCTCGGCCCCAAGGGGTGCCTGGCGCGCGTGGCGCCCCTGGCACGTGTGGCGCACCTCGCCCAAGCGTCGCGCACCTGGGGTCGGCTTTGGTTCCCGGTAGCTGCCCATCCAAAGACGGCTGCTGAACATGCTCCGGCTCGGGCGTTTTTCTTATGTGTTGGGAGGGCGGGTGGGAATGAGCTAGACGGCTTGCGGGCGGATGGGTAGCTTGACCCCTCCCTCCTACACCGCCCCCTGGAACCGGAAGGGACGCCCCGCGAGGTGTCAGAGGATACAGTTTCGCCCAAGATGGCTCCAAGAGGGCCTCAGAGAGTCTACGATGACCTCCAAGATGGCCCAAGATACCCCGCGATACCTTAAGTCGGCTCCCAAGATGCCCCAAGAGGCCCCAAGAACGCTCCAAGACGACTCTAAGAGGCCTCCGAGACCTCCAAGGAGGCCTCCAAGAAGCCCACATCCGTCCAAACCGAAGGAACATCAATGTTACTTGCTGTCTCGCCTTTTCGCTTCCGATGGCTATCCGAGGCCTTGAGATGGTTCCAAGATGGCCCAAGAGGGCCCCAGGAGAGACCCAAGAGAACCCCAAGACGGCCCCAAGAGCGCCCGAAGACCGTTCCAAGAGGGGTCTAGGAAGCGATTGTTGGGGCTCCCGAGGGGGGACGCTAATTGGAGCTCCCCTCTTTTTTGATCGATGTCTTCCAAGATGGCCCCAAAAGAGCCCCTGAAGCTCCCAAGAGCGCCCCAAGAGGGCCCCAAGAGGCGCCCAGGCAGCCCCAAGAGGCTCCCAAGAGGCTTCCAAGAGGCTCCCAAGAGGCCCTCAAGAAGCATCCAGAGGACCTCCGAGGGACCCCTGACGCTCAAAAAAGCCGCTGGGCTCGCCAAGATGCTCCTTCTTCTTCTCCTCCTCCTCCTCCTCCTTCTCCTCCTCGTCCACTGTCTCTTCCTCCTTCCTCCTCTCGCCCTCCTCTTCCTTCTCCTCCTCCTCCTTCTCCTCCTCCTCCTCCTCCTCCTCCTCCTCCTCCTCCTCCCCCTCTTGGGGTATCGGACAGCTGTCCCCGCCCTTTGCTCTTCTGCATGCTCCCCCACTTCCCTGATCACCTCAACTCCCAGCGTCAACCATTTCGTTGTGTCGAGCATTGCAAATCTCATTATGAAAGGGACGAGTCCTAGGCTAAATGGCATCAAGCCTTGCGTACTCTTCATGGGCTCGCATGAACAGAGCGGGCCTCTTCAAATGGAGCGATGGGATTTCTGGAACCCCAAGATGATCGCACTTCATTGGTGGCGTGCATTGGCAAGAACTCCGCTCTGCAACTTTGCCCGAAACCATGCGCCTCAGATTCCCAAGCTTCCGTGGTGAAAGGCAAGCAGAGTGCCGCGCTGCGAGTTGGCCCGGACACATTCGCCTCAGAATTTCCTGGATCCCCCCGGCTCCAATCAGCAGAGCGGCGCTCTGCGAATTGACCCGCATCTGAGGAACGGCCCGAAAACTCAAAGCCCCTCCCCAGTCCGAAGTGACCATGAAATTGCAGTCAACCCGTATAGTAAGGATGCGCGATAAGGATGCAAGGGCCTTGGACGCCCATTTCGGAGCTTTTCGAGCGGGGCGCGGCCAACGAAAGTGGCGAAGGATGGACCGAGGAGGCAAGGATGCAAGGGTACCCTTGAGAGGGTTGCCCATCCTTACTATGTGGGTTGACTGTAGACTCTTGGCTGTGCTGCCAGGACGGTCTTCGAGTTCCCGCGCCAGCATTCACGGACGAGGGAGAGGCACGGGTCTGCGCAGCGCAGCGGCGACGACACGCGAGACTGGGGACGAGACCTCGTGTCGCAGATCTCGCAGGCGGGGCGACGATCGGGGGTGACCAGCTCAGGAGGGGGGAACCAGTGGCATGGAATCGGCGATGCAAACGCCGAGAAATCGGCGACAGGCCCGCGATAGCAGAACCGAACAGTCCTGGACGGGGTGGCCTATTAGGCCCCCATCGGCGATGAGTGGGCGGTGGGGGGTCGATGCGTCCGCATATCCCCCTCTAACGTTGCCTCTGACTCCCAACCTCCGACGAAGATGGGTCGGCATCGACTTCAGCCCGACAGCAAATCCTCGATAATGAGTGGGTAATTGGGGCTCGATGTGTCCCTGGGCTTACTCCCCCGCATGCTGCCACTGACGCCCGCCTTCCGACGAAGATGGGTCGACATCGACTTCGGCCCGACGGCGCGTCGCCGATGCGTCGCCGAGTGGGCCTCCAGCGGCGAGACCGAAAGCTTCGAGGCGCGCCGGGGGGGCTCACGCCTGCTGTGGCGCTGATCGAACGCATTTGGGCCAGCAGTCCCAGACCTCCAACGATGTTTCTACCAAGTGTTGTCGTTGCTATTTCTTTCATTCGTTCTCTCCCAACCCCAGCGGTGGCCAGAGAACCCTCGAGGGATTAGGTAGCCCTGGTGGGCCTATAGGTCTGGAGGGTTCTTCCGCAGCACCCTGAAGGCCCAGGAAGTCCCCTGAGACCCCCCTGACGCGCCCGCCCAGAAGTCTTCCCTCCCTCCCCCCTGCAAGATCTTGCCCCTTCTTGTCTTGAGCAGGGACCGACCGTCCCGACATTCCTATACGCCTTCCACGACATGTTCTTAGAACGCAAAAATGTTCTAAGAACACAAACGATGTTCTTAGAACATTCGCCCGATGTGAGAAAAACCAGAACCAGCCAGAAATGTTCTAAGAACATTTCGTGCTGACCACAAAAGGTCCTGATAACGCTCTTTGGTAGGCCTCTAGGCGAGCTAAGACTGTTCGCCGCTGCTTGACCTTCGGCCTCATCCCCGGAGCATGACTCCCGTCGGTGGAAGCCTCCTAGATGGGGTCCGAGCAGATGGGGCCGGAAGATCGCGCCGCATCGCCGATGCATCGCTAATGCACCAGCAACGTCGGCGATGCACCAGCGACGCCAGCGTGGAGGAAATCGGGCTCCACATCGAGCCGCATCGCCGATGCATCGGCGATGCGGCGCGATCCTCCGACCCCATCTGCTCGGACCCCATCTGGAGGGCCTACAGGGCAGTTTTTGATACATGGGATTTCTAAACATATAGGATCTTTAATACATGACATGACTAAACTTATGCATGAGCTCATCGTTGTTTCTGATGCTAATTCCCTGCATTTTTTAATACAGGATCCGCACGCGGAGCATGTATGAAAAAAGGCACTGTAGAGTCGGGGGGCATTCTGCGCCGGCCTCGGGGCCCGAACGCAACCCGACGGGGTGCCGAGATCGTGGCGGGGCGCCCGCCCGCCCCGGGGAGGCCGAGGCCGAGCCCCCGGGGAGGCCGACGGCGGCGCAGCACCTCTGGGGGCCCCTGCGCTGCACGGCGCCGGTGGGGCTGCCGCGGGCGGTGGTGCTGACGACGACGGCGGTGATGCTGCTGCTGCTGCTGCTGCTGCTGGTGAGGATGCCTTTGCTGATGAGGACGGCGAGGATGGTGATGGCGGTGATGATGGTGACGACGACGACGGCGAGGGCGAGGAGGAGGAGGCTGCTGCTGCTGCTGCTGATGATGACGATGACGATGACGATGACGATGACGATGACGATGACGATGATGATGATGATGATGATGATGATGATGGTGATGATGATGATGATGATGATGATGATGATGATGATGATGATGATGATGATGATGATGATGATGATGATGATCATCGTTAATGGTGCTGACCACGACGATGATGCCGCTGCTGATGATGATTACGATTATCAGGCTGATGAGACCGTGATGCTTTATCGCATGCCTCTCCCTGCCCCTGACCCTTGCAGGCGGGGCGGGCGGCGGGGACGCCATGCCCGCCGCATGGCCCTGCGCCCCGCGCCCCCCGCGCGCGAGGACGCGCGGCGTGAAGTCGGGCGTGTCCCCCTACGGGGGGATTTTGGGCGAAACAATAAAGAATCTCCCGAGTCTGCCCCCCTTCCAATGGGCAAACATTCACCACACATCGTCCGCATTCCTTTTGTTTTGAATGCATACATATATATATATATATATATACACATTTGTAGATATATGTATATATCTCTATATATATATATATGTATTAAAAAGCATTTGTGAGCATTCCCCCTGTAGACAGAGGCACACGCCCGCCTTTACGCGCGGCGGCGGGAGGCGAGGCGAGGGCCCCCCCACCCCGCAGCCCTCGGAGCGCCGTGCGGGCGGGTTGGCCGCAGCGCAGGCGCGCGCGCTGGAGAAACGCGAGCCGCCCGCCCGCGCCCCCCTGGGGGGGGGCACGGGCGCGGACGCCGCGGCACGGCGAGGGCTCGCGGGGGCCGACGGGGGGCGAGGCGAAGGGGGCGGGCGGGGTCCTCCTCCTCCTGCGCCTCCTCTACCTCCTCCTCCTCCTCCTCCTCCTCCTCCTCCTCCTCCTCCACCTCCACCTCCACCTCCTCCTCCTCCTCCTCCTCCTCCTCCTCCTCCTCCTCCTCCTCCTCCTCCTCCTTGGGTGGAATCCCACCGGGGCGGAGGGGAGGGGTATGTGGCGACCTGGGGAACTCGGGCAAACAGAACCATGCTCATAGCAAGCAACCCCCGCTTGCGAAGCCCCCCGGCAAGCGCACTCAAGAAGGGGAATCGAGCAGGGAAGGACTGCTTGCGCAACAAAGTGCTCAGGCTCGCTCGTTGCAGTACACGCCAGTCAGGGGGGGTCGGGGTGTTCTTTCATCGCTTAAAATGCGTCGAGCCACCACCTGTGGCGCGGGGCACCGGGCGAGAGTTTTGGACGCCCGAATTGGGTACAGAAAAAAATGTGTAGAATGCCCAGCAACACATGTTGTCCCAAAGCAACGGCGGCCGCTGTTGGGCAGGCGGCCTTCTGTCTCGGATGGACACAGGCCGCGGCGGCGTGGACAGCGAGTCCTGTTCAAAATGAACAGGAACTGCTGTTGGGCATTGTACCCATTCTTTCCGTACCCACTGCGCTCGTGCCTAGGGGTGCGGGGACAGAGCCCGCCGAGCGGTGCGCAGAGGGGTGGAGGTGGTGACGGTGACAAGGGAGGGGAGGGGGGGGTGGAGGAGTGGCGGACTCAGAGCTGGAGGTTTCGCGGAGCGGGGGTGCCCCTGGGCCCCTGGGAGCGGATGGCGTCTGTCATCCCAGCCCGGCGGGGAGGACCAGGAGGGAGGCGCTCGCCGCGTTGAGCGCCCTGGCGCGGTGCGCCTTGCTGCAGGAGGACGAGGAGGAGGAGGCCGAGGACATGGGACCTCCTCCATTACCTATTCCTCAACATCCTCCTATCTATCTTCCTCCGCGCCATTATCCTTCCCCTCCTCGTCTGTTGGACTTCTCTCTCCCTCTCTCTCTCTTTCTCCCTCTCCGTATCCCTCCCTCCACTCCTCTTCTTCTTCTTCTTCTTCTTCCTCTTCCCTCCTCCATCCGCTCTTATCCTCGCTCCTCTTCTCTCGTTCCACATCCTGCTCCTCCTTCACCTCATCTGCATTCCCACTAACCATTAACTCAAAATTGTCGTCGTCCCCGTCCACCCATCCGTCGTCCTCGTCGTCCTCGCTCTCCTGCTCCTCCTTCTCATCCTGTTCTCGCCCACGTCATCAGCAATCATCATATGTGTCCTCTCCCTCTTCGAACTCAGCTCATGCGCTTCAGCCGAATCTGGATACGTCCCAGAAGAAAACAAAAGAGCTCGCGCGCAGTGTCAGGGAAAAGAGGGTTGATGGGGAACGCAGATGCGGACGCGACTGACGGAGAGAGGGAGAGAGGTGGAGGGAAAAACAATGGGGGGGATGCCAGGGGGGAAGGCAACGGATGCGGAGGGGAGCGGGGAGGGGCGAGCGGCGAGGAGGGAGAGGAATGTGGTGGGAGGAAGGTGCGTGCTGAATGCGCTCGCGCCTTATCCGACATCCTACCCGTAGGAGCGCAATTTTAAACATTCGCCGCCATAACGGGCGCCTTGGGGGTGGAGGGCGGGAGGGGGGACGGGAGGGGGCATAACGTAGCACCCCCCCCCCTGGAGAAACCAAAAGGTACCGATACCGCTACTCCCTGGGCCTCGCCATGGGTGCGTTCTGATGAGAATTTCGAGGCGAATCCAGCGGTGGCGACGAGATCCTCCGAGGAGGCCCAGAACGGGGAAAACGGCCGAAGGGTAGAGGTATGGGTACCTTTTCCTCCTCTGACCCCCTAGGAAATGGTGCCGGACGCATTGCGGAAGTGTGCAGGTGACGCACTGAGGTGGGGATTGTTACGCTGTGGGAGGGGGGGGGGAAGGGTCAGGTCGGGCCCCTTCCCCATACAGGGGGATTTTTGGGCGAAAAGTTAAAGATGTTTAAAACATATTCCCCAAATGCTCAACCATAGTTTAGAAATAGTCCCCAGACTATGTTTTAACTATTCTCGAATCTCCCTCCTGAAGAGGGACAAGCCCGACTTAAAAAAGGACAGTGGGCGAAGGCAGGGGGCACACGCCGCAGCGGGAGCACGGCGGGTTCGTGCGGTGGTGGCGATCCGGCGACGCCCGCGCAGGCGTTCAAGATTGAACTCTGCGACGCGGAGGCACCGAGGGACGCGGTTTGGTGATCTTCTGATCTGGTTGGGCGCCCGAGTCATCTGGGGTAACTCGGGTCCGGGGTAACTCGGGTTTGGATTCCCGAAAAACGAACCCGAGTTAGCCCTGACCCGAGTTACCCCTGATGATTCGGGGCTCTGGACGCCCGAGTTATCCGGGGTAACTCGGGTCCGGGGCAACTCGGGTTCGGATTCCCGAAAAACGAACCCGAGTTAGCCCTGACCCGAGTTACCCCTGATGATTCGGGGCCCTGATCTGGGTCAATCCAAGCTTTGCAGAAGCATGCAAGATCCTGCAAGGTCCTGCGCCCAAGCCCGGAACAGCGCTGAGGCTCCTGCAGGATCCTGCAGGCTCCTGCGCCCGAGCCCGGGCCAGTGCGACCCTGGCCCAGCAGGATCCTGCAAGATCGGGCGCTCTGGCTGACCCCCGTGTGCGCTGACACCCGTCTCAGGGCTCCCGAGCGATAACGCCACCGGATTCGGCCGAATTCAACCTTGATCGGGGCCGCGATCGGCTCTCAAGGTTCAAAGATCGATGCGGCGTCAAAGAGCTCTGCGCGCGCCGACGCCGCGCGAACCTGCCGTGCAAATCTACGGAGGGCACAAGTAAGGGGCCGAACTCTATACACCGACGCTTTTTCTGGCCCCGCATTGAAATTCGCACGGGAAAACCAATCCTGGTGTACACGGGATCCTGGTGTATACATGTTTCCTTGTTTCCCCGGGAAAGCGGGGAAACAAGTATACATCAGACCACCCCGACGTCGTCCCCGACCCTGGAAAAGTCGTAGGATGGAGAAACGGCCTGCCACTGGTCATGTATATGTTCCAGTTTTTGAATAAGCAATTCCAAGCGAGCACGAAGTGCACAAGCACAACTTCCGATACGCTGTGCGCGAGCACCGCCCGCGGGAGGCGCGGGCCCTCCACAGGACGGTCGCAGGGGCGAGAGGGAGGTCGTTCGCATTCGACGAGCGCGCTCCACTACTCGCAAAGTAACTACTCGCAAATGGCCTGGATACGCCGCGGGGGATTTACGATAAATTACATCAAAACCGACATATATGTATCGGATGTTTGCGAGTAGGCACTTTGCGAGTAGTGGAACGCGCTCGGCGATTCATACCACTTGTGTGGGGAGGAGATGGGAGAAAGCATGGAAGCCGGACACCCAATGACGGTGGAAGACGAGAGCCCAGCGCGTTCTTGCTCGGCTCTTCGGCGCGCTCGTCGGCGGCGGGAACGGGCGCCACCGCGGCGGAGCTGCCGCCGTCAAGTCCTCCGCCCGCGCTGCGGCGCCGCCGGTGGGGGGGGGGCAGCATGGGACGCACAGGGACATACTAATACTATATGTCATCCTTGGAGGCGCACGTCCGACCCGAACACATGGTACACCCATCTTGTAGTATGTCATTTCCCGAGCGGTGTGGCCAGAAAGCGCCCGCCACGACGCATGTGCTATGATATGTTTCAGTGCGCGCGTCGCCCCTGGGGGGGGGGGGGGGGACGACGCACATATAGTATAAGTATGCTGGGGTGACGCCGACAGCAATGCCTGCCGAGCTCTGGCCTCGACCCGCGAAGCTCTCCAATCGCAGCATCTGCATGTTTCCGTGCTGTCCCCGTCAGCTCGCGTGCTTACGAGGCAACTGCCAGGGAGGTCTTCGTCGGAAGGATCAAGGAGGATTAAGCCCCATCGGGGGGCGGTTACGCCGGAGTGGGCCTCGGACTAAGCGGGATTAAGCCGGATTTGGCGGGATCAAGCCGGATTAAGCCGAATTTCGGACCAGGTCGCAATCAGAATTTGACCTCCCAGGAGTTGCATCCGAAGCGTGCTGTGCCGTTCGCACCACGAGCCAGGCGGAAAGAGATCGCGGAGCCGATCCGCAGCCCCAGTCGAGAGTGGGAAAGGCCAGAGCGTCACGCTGCCAGGCTGTGCGGCCCAGGCCTCCAAGCTCACTGTCTCAGCACACCGCGGCGGTCGAGGATGGGCGTGGAGGGTGTCCGCGGAACGTGTTTGGGCGTCGTGTCTTCCCCAGACACTGCTGGCGCTCGGGGGGTTTCGCCTAGCGTGAACAATGACTGGATGGGGGGTTCCTGTTTTCCACCGCGGACTTCCCGTCCTGCCCCGCCTCGCCCTCCCGAGTTTCCCTGATGTTTTCCTCCCTGTCTCTCAGTTCCCCCCCTTCCTCTCGTTCCTCCTCCTCTTCCTCCTCCTCCTCCTCCGCCTCGTGTTCCTCCTCCTCCTCCTCCTCCTCCTCCTCCTCCTCCTCCTCCTCCTCCTCCTCCTCCTCCTCCTCCTCCTCCTCCTCCTCCTCCTCCTCCTCCTCCTCCTCCGCTGTGGCGAGGTTTCGCCCGGGGCCCGCCCGTAGCCGCACTCGTGGGCGGCTCGGTGCGCTGGGCTGGGCGCGGCGGCGCTGCGCCCGGGGCCCGCGCACGTGGCCGCCCGTGAGCGCCTCGCGCGCTGCGTGTGGCTGTGCACTACATGGCTTCACGTAGCTTCTATCACAGGAGGAGGAGGGGGAGGAGGGGGAGGAGGGGGAGGAGGGGGAGGAGGAGAAGGAGGAGGAGGAGGAGGAGGAGGGGGAGGAGGAGGAGGAGGGGGAGGAAGAGGAGGAGGGGGAGGAGGGTGTGCACCACATAGCCTCACGTGGCTTCTATCACATACAGTCGGGGCGGTGACCCAAGGAACCCTAAATGAAGAACGAGGCCCCTTCCTCCCAGAGGGTAGACTCCGATAGCCTAAGGAAAACCCAAGGCAGATTGTAAAACAACCAGGGAACACCGAGCCCCTCCCCAACGAAAAGGGTTCCTTCTTCAGCGCCCGTACTGTAATTATTTTACCGCGCAGCTTGCACCACGTAGCTGGCACCACACACGTTTCACCACACAATTTACACCACACAGCTTGCGCCACACGACTCACACCACACATCTTACACCGCGTAGCTTGTACCGTACAACATACACAACACATTGCATCGCACAACTTACACGACATAGCTCACACCACATGTGTTACACCGCATCGATCACACCACATATATTGCACCACATGAATTGCACCACATGGCGTGCGCCACACTTACACACACACACACACGTACGCATATACATATCCATTCACTTGTACTGCCCTGATCAGCACGATGTGCCAGCCCCTCGACGAGAGAGCGAGCTGCAGTACGGTGAAATGCCAGAGAAGGCTCCAGAACGACAATATGTATTGAAACACGCATCCTGTTTACAACACAGGGGTTGCACCATATAGCTTACACATCCACAGTGCAATGACCTGTTGTTTGGGAACCACGCTGGTAAACATGACATATTCCTTTCTGGGCCTCGGGGGTCCACCCGAGGCCTCATGGGACCTCCGGGAACGTCAGGATTGAAAGATCCACAAATTCCCTTCGTGTCTGCAATCCTCTTCTGGTCGCATTGTGTTCCTTCCACCTCCCCCTCCCTCGAAAAAGACCCCCGACGCCTCCCCGATCGCCGAGCAGGTCGCCAGCCAACCCGTAATGTCTTCGCCCGGCTTGCTGCGAGGGATGAAGGGTGCCTTCCAGAGGCCCTGTCATCCGCCGACCTGCTTCTTCCAACGCGCGGCCCAAAATCTCGTGGGCCAGTTCTTCGCCCAAGATTGAAGGGGCCCAAGGACACGCAAATACATACACACAAGTAACAGGATTCCCCGCATTTTCAAATCTTTTCTGGGTTTTTCGTCTTCCCCCCACTTCCCATATTTTCCCCTATTTTCCTGGGGAGTCTCGACGAGTAATTGCGTCTGTGTGTTTCTTTCCCTCCTGAAAGATGAGTGCCTCATGGCCGCACGCCCAAGCACGGGCCCTGGAGGCCGGCCGGCATCGAAGAACAGCGCCCGCGTCCGGGAAACGAGCACACCGTTGGAGATCTGGGGGCCCGTGGCGAAGGACGCCCCAGGAAGGGGACGCACGAGGACGCACTGGTGCTGTGGAGGCGCGCGCCCGACCTGAACACGCAGTATCACCATCTTGTAGCACGAGCGGTGTGGCCGGAAAGCGCCCGCCACGACGCATGCACTAGGAGATCTCTCGGTGCTCGCGTCGCCCCTGGCGGGACGACGCACACATAGTATTCGGTATCAGTACTTTGGGGTGACGCCGACCGAATGGGGAGGGCCGGGGGCCACGCCCAGCCCCCTCGGCAGCACAGGCGCCTTGTGGAGGCGCGGCAGGAGGCAGCCGGACCTCGCCCTCCCCTCCAGGTGAGGGTCAGGGAGGCTCGTCGCCGTCCTGCTCCCGAGGAGGAGGGAGAGGATGGAGGAGGAGGACCAGTGTAAACCCAAGAGCCATCAACGATGTTAGAATTAACCCTCCCTCCAAGATCCCTCTTCATAGGCCCCTACAACGGTTCATGTCCATTGAGGGAACTGCCTCGTTGGAAGACAACCGTTTGAAGACCCCGAAGCATGCCAAAACAATGTTCTCAGGATTCCAACGCGACGGAGCAACCCGACTGTTGCGTCTTGACGATCCTGGATCGCACCAGAACGCCATTCTTGGGACCTCAAGACCGCGAATCAACGAAGCTGATGCACCCGCATAACCCTTAATCCTTTCCAAACACCATTTCCTGTACGCTGATCATGGGAATCCGTGGAACTCGTGCAAATTGTATCAACGAATGTGTGCGGCGCTAAAGCGAGAACCACATTTTGAAAAGGAGCCGCCCTCAACCCGTGAAACGATTGAAAATGTTTACGAAACGAATGTGCGCGGCGTTGAAGAGAAAACCACATTTTGAAAACGGGCCGCCCTCAATATGTAAACTGTTAGGACGAATGTGCGCGGAGCTAAAGCGAAAGCCACATGTTGGGAAAACGGTCCGCCCTCCATCTGTGAAACTGTTGCCAATCTTTTTACTTTATTCCGAATCATGAATGGTGAGGATGTCTCAGGCGAAACGCCCGGCCCGCCCTAAAAACTGGCCTCGGGGTGCGACAGGGCGAGGTGATCTGTAAGGAACAGGAATGGAGGAGGAAGAGGATGAGGATGAGGAGGACGAGGAGGAGGAGACTGAGGAGGAGGAGGAGGAGGAGGAGGAGGAGGAGGAGGAGGAGGAAGGGCTCCCCAGGATAAAGGGCCGCCTTCCTGTGGCCAGGATGCGGGCAACATGCCAGGTGCCCTGCCCTCCAAGGGCCGCGTGCCCGGGACCCCCCTGCATGGGGCCGACGAGCTGGCCCCAGAAGGGCTGCCTACCAGACCACCCCAACCCAACCCGAAGACCCGAATTTCGGGTTGGGGGGGGTAAGGGTTCCACATGTGTTTTTCGGTGTTTCCCGATCCCCCCCACTGGAAATCGAGGGTAAATCTGAGCCTCCGGGTTGGGTTGGGGTGGTCTGGTGGGTGGTGATAGAAGGGCTGCGGCAAGGTTTCGAGCCGGGGAGCCTCCTAGTAGGGAGAACGGCACAGCAACAAACGTCCGTCATCGGGGACGCCTGTTCCAGGGCGGCTGGAAAGCTTTCGGGCCCTAATTACGGTCAGGTCGGGCATGTCGTCCTACAGGCGGATTTTGGAAGAAAGATAAGAATCAGTCAAGCGATAATCGAGAATTGACAAAAAAAAAAAAAAACATTGGAAAAATCGTCCCCAGACTATTTTTTGACTGTTTGTGAATATTCTTCCTGTAGAGGGGCACGCCCGACTTAACCCCACGGTGGCACAGCAGGGTAACAACTTTTCAGCCGCCCTGAGACAGGAGTCCCCGACAGCGGAACGGGTCGTGCTGTGCCGTTCGTCGTCTGCCGAGAGCTGGAAGTGGGGGGTGAGGCCAACTTGTCCCTGCACTTTGGTGGCTCAGGCTGTCAGCTCGGGACCATGATAGGGGGCCACATGCGAACCCTACCCCTACCCCCTACGATTTCTGCGGGGGAGGGTGGGGTTCACTTCGCTCGGGAGCTCCCAAACGAAGTGAACCACACCCTCCCCCTCAGAAATCGTGGGGGTAGGGGTAGGGTTCGCATGTGGCCCCCTTATCGGGACCATGAGACACCAGAGGAACGCCGAGTCGTACCAAGCGGCTCCGGACCAGGCGTGCTGCCCCCCTCGGCGGCCCGGCCGTGAGCACGACGAGGCACACATTGGCCCTGGAACTTGCACGGGGCTGTCGCACGGGGGAGGGGAGAGGAAAGGGGAGGAGCGACGTGGTCGAGGGCGCAGGGAAAATAACGACGGCCCGATGGGGAGGGGAAGCGGAGACGAGACGAATGATCCTGAATAGTAAACATCAAGAGGCCACGTTTACCGCCGGAGGAGCGGCTGGGCAGCGTTCGTTGTTCTCCTCCCGAAGCGGCGAGCGGCGTCATGAAGAAGTCGCTGCGCTCGTTGGTGTCCTTGGAATCTCCAGCGTTCTGCCCTCCTCACTCTCGATCTCATCATCCCAGTCCTCAGCCTCGTCATCGTCCTCCTCCGTGCCTCCTTCACCCTCCGCCACGTCGATACTTGTTCGTCCTTCTCCTCCTTCTCATCCTCTGCGTCCTCGTCGTCGTTATTATCCGAACGACCCTCTGTACCCAGAGCCACATGTTGCTTCCTCGTCTCTCCCCAGTCGTCCATTTCCACGTCCCCCTCCCCCTGTCGTCCGACATGGGTTGTTGCTATATCCGGAACAAGGCACATACCTACGCATGTACGCTTACATGCGCATGCATACTTATATATATATATATATGTGAATATATATATATATACATATATATATATATATATATGTGTGTGTGTGCTCATCTGTGTCTTTGCACTGTTGGGCGTGTGTGTATGCGTGTGCGTGTGCGTGGGCGTGTGTGTGTGTGTGTGTGTGTTTTTGCGTGTGTGCGTGTGTGTGTGAGTGTGTGTGTGTGTGTTTGTGTGTGTACGCGTGTATGTACATGTCTGTACAATTAAATCCGCCGATCTGGCGAGTGAGGTTCAGAAAGCCGATGCTACAGCCTAGAATCTGAACTTCAACTCCGCTGGGTGGGGTTGCTGGTGTGGCTCTGCCGGGGAACAGGGGGACCCCTCTGTTGCGCCTGTGCTCCGCTTTGTTCCGCTTTCTTGGGGGGCCTCGGACACGTGAAAATGTACAACTCAGGACCTCATGAGCCCAACGCAATCGCTGAACGATCGGGCCAAGACGCCCAAGGTAGCTTCCCGTCGGCCGCAAAAACGCCCAAGACGTCCCAAGAGCACCCCCAAGAGGGCGCCAAGAGGCAAAAACCATCACATCTCGATTGGCAAACCTACATTTCTAGCATGTCCGACTCCTTGGCCCTCACGACGTCAAGACGCTCCAAAAAGTTCCCAAGACAGTCCCAGGGACCCACGAGCACCGAAACCGCACAATAGGCGCCCAAGACGGCCTCAGAAAGCTCCAAGACAGCTCCAAGAGAGGCCCAATACTGGGTAAGCCCGAACCGATACTTCCTGCCTTCCACCCCAAGATACCCCCTCGAGGTCCCGCGAGGCCCCCCAAAGCCCCCAAGAGACCCCCATGAGACCCACAAGACGGCCCACAGGGCTCCAAAACTGCGCATAATAGGTTTCAACACGGCCTCCAAGAAGCCCCCGAGAGCCCTCCGACGACATCACCACGAACATCTCAGAGGCTTCATTATCACCCACAACCCAGGCACGGCGGCAGAATGGGCCGAAGGCCATTAGACCTTATT